ACTAAAAAAATTTTGCCCCCCCCCCGGAAAGTTAATCGATTTTTGTGCCCCCTCCCTCCCCCTAGAAAGTTTTCTGCGGACGCCCATGCTAGCAATGGGTAAAAGTAAACGACAGATTTTGTAAATAAAAATTTAAAAATATTTGTGCATAAATGGGTTAAACCGTGGTTTTCTTTCAAATGCGTTAGAACCCCTCGTAGCGATAATGGTTCGCACACACTGTGTGACACAGGACTCACATTGCCAAACAAGCGTTGAGTGTTGTGTTGTTGTTGTTTTTTAAATGATGTTTTTTTTTTTTTTCTTTTTTTGATAACAAACCCGTAGCTCGCGGACATAAGCGTTACGCCTATAATAAATAAAAAGAGACAAGTTGGGTATAACTAAAGCTTGTATTTATTTATAACTCTGTTGTTGTGATATAAAGGTGATTTCAATCATTTTTAAGACAACATAACTCTTTATCATTTTTCTCCCGCTTATTTTTTCGTCCTGGATCTGTCTCCTAGCAACACCCCATAGCCAAAAAAAAAATAATAATAATTTCTTTTCCAACACACTATTCTCCGAAGTTATGAATTAATCCAAGGTCTCATTCTACAAGCATTCTGGGTGAATTCAACGTCCCATTGCTCTTCATTTGCCCTAATTATGAACAGCATAACTTCTCCTATTGCTATATTGCTTCAATTAATTCTCAGACTTTTGGCTAGTTCTTAGCTCGATATCCGGTACTTGACTCTGACTCGCCGGGATACTAGGGCTGCTCGGGTTAAACTCGCCGGGATACTAGGGCTGCTCGGGTTAAACTCGCCGGGATACTAGGGCTGCTCGGGTTAAACTCGCCGGGATACTAGGCTGCTCGGGTTAAAGGCGAGATTCAAACACACTGAGATAAAACCAGATAAGAGAATGGTCATAGCAAATAACTTGTTTGACGCGTCACCCCGGTGTTGCGGTGACCGGTGTTGCTCTGATACCGGGAAAGCCCATTCCTTTTTCAAAAAGGCAAAGCAGGAAATGTCACGCAGGAAATGCCATGCAGGAAGACTATGTAAAGGTGATGATGATTGCTTCTCATTTAATATAAATTTCCATGCAACTCCCAGCTGACCTCGCATTTCTGGTTGACATTATCAACTGAATCCTATAAAGATCTGGGGGTTGTTGTTTGTTTTTTTTTTTCCCTTCTTGTTGTTTATTGTAATTTCCTTGGTAGTTTTGTCTGTTATTTCACGCTAGCATTATTTTTTAACAGATTATATATTATTATTGGGGGGGGGGNGGGGGGGGGGGGGGATTTTTTTAAACACACTGCGTTCCAAATGATAAATTATTTTCGAGTGGAAAAAAAAGTAACCAAAAAAAAAATGTTGCGATGACCAAACTGTTTGGGGGTGGCAGTGGTGTGGGAAGGTAGTGTTGTGCCGCGGGCGGCACTTTTTCAACTTGAAGGGCGGCAGTTTCGACTACTTCCGAGTGTTTTTTTTTTTTCGTGGAAGGGGCCGGCAAAATAAACTTGGCCCACCCATCATGCACCACAAATCCTAGTTTCGACACGGGGGGAGGGGGGGATCAGATCGGTGAGGTTTGGGGTAATCATGTACTCACCAATCGTATTCTAATATTATGAAGGTGATATCTGTCACAAAGAGTGAGTTCTACAGCGTAGAGTGCTCAACACAGAATGTGAGGACCACTTTGCAGGCGTGAATCCTGCATTGTCACCACTCATGACTTGTAGGCGGGAATTTGAAGATCCTTCTCATGTCGAGTCCACTCAACAACAAAAGCTTTTCATTACTTGGATTACAATTTCAAAATTGTGTAGTTGCTTTTTTTTTAACATTTTATTTTGGTTAACCTTTTTGAACTCATTTGGCCCGGGGGGGGGGGGGGAATCTTTGGGGGGGGGGGGGTTACTTAGGGGGGTGGAGGTTTACATATAAATATATATATATATATATATATATATATATCAAAGATAAAATAAATATTTATATATATGTGTGTGTGTGTAAAAAATTTTTGCCTGATTCCATGATTAAGTCTTCGTGTAATAAGTGTTTCTTCTTCTTGTCGCAAACAACTTTGTAGGATGCATTATAGTTTACCGGACATCCATGCCATAGCATGAACATAAGAAGTGTGTCGGGTGTACAGATGTTCACTTAATGGAGGTGGAGGACAACATACCGCAGGTTACCGGCTTTTATTTCGGTTCAAAACAAAACGGTAGAAACTGGTGTTGCCAAAATGAAGACAACGCTGTTTAAGATCAACTGGACCATTATGTTAATGCTGATATTTTTTTAAACTTTGCGGTCCCCCCCTCCCCCGACCATCTCATTAACAATCTATAATTATGCCCTTTGCTTTTAAGTACTGAGGCAATAAGCCAGTGAGAGGATATGTATATGACATGAGGCAATAAGCCAGTGGGAAGGTATGTATATGAGGCAATAAGCCAGTAGGAGAATATGGACTGAGGCAATAAGCCTGTGGGAGGATATGGACTGATGTAATAAGCCTGTGGGGGGTGGGGGATATGGACTGATGTAATAAGCCTGTGGGGGGTGGGGGATATGGACTGAGGCAATGAGCCCCGGGAGAAGGATATGGACGTACACTTGGTTGTTGTTTTGTTCTAATTCTTTTGCTTCCTTCTTTTTTTTTAGCATGGGGGGGGGGGGGGGGGTTGGGAGTGGGGATGCTTGACGAGCTGTTATGATAAAATAACAACACTAAAATACTTATGTATGTATTGGTTAGATCTACTTTGAGGGAACAAAAAAAAGTTCCTAACATTTTTTTTCTAGTTTTTATGTAGTGCTTTATAACAATAGACTATATATATATATATATATGTGTGTGTGTGTGTGTGCATATATATATATTTAAAAGTCTTAAATATTTTGGTGAGAAAAGTCCATGTGTTTATGTGGGGGCACACATATTTGTATGTGCATATAGATGTGTGTCCGAAAATCTATTCATTTGTTCAAGCATACTATTTTTTTTTAAATTCTTGATAAAAATAATAATTAATCAAGAATGTTTTTAATTATTTTGTTTGAACAAACTAACTAATTAACAAGAGGCGTAGTTTCTCTTATATTCTATGTTATTCTCTTATATTCTGTGTTACTCTCTTATATTCTATGTTATTCTCTTATACTCTAATCTGTTACTTACGCATTTCGATAAAATCATATCCTGACACCAATAAACGACTGATCACACACCAATGAAGTCCCGATTTCATATTTTTAGTACTTCAGGTTCGATTACTCATGGTTAACCTAAATATAACGTGAACAGAGTTGTGTTTCTTTGTTAGTCACGGCGTCAGGGGTTAAGAGCGGAGGCCTACTGCCACTGCATCAATCAACACTGTTGGTTCACGTCCTGATATCTGAAATGAGCTGGACTGATAAAAAAAATTATAAAAAAACTTTGCCCCCCCCCCTCAAAGCCCCGGAGACAAAGTGATGTTTTGCTGATGACTCAAAAATGGATCTCAAAGTCAAAGAGAGAAATTGATGATCCTTGGGGAAATAGGAACTTTAACAGTTTAAGGGAGGTCCTGAATCTTATCATATAATTTATAAATAAGGTCTAGGAGGCTTTTTATTAAAAAAAATCTTCAAGCACTGTTTGAGGGTTAGGGGCAGAAGAAAAAAAAAAAGGGGGGGGGGGGGGGGGGNAAAAGTACTTCATAATGGAATACATAGACACAAAAGTACTTCATAATGGAATACATAGACACAAAAGTACTTCATAATGGAATACATAGACACAAAAGTACTTCATAATGGAATACATAGACACAAAAGTACTTCATAATGGAATACATAGACACAAAAGTACTTCATAATGGAATACATAGACACAAAAGTACTTCATAATGGAATACATAGACACAAAAGTACTTCATAATGGAATACATAGACACAAAAGTACTTCATAATGGAATACATAGACACAAAAGTACTTCATAATGGAATACATAGACACAAAAGTACTTCATAATGGAATACATAGACACAAAAGTACTTCATAATGGAAGCGCTGGTGGCTACCTTTTTTGTTCAGAGGAGATGTTATCATACCAAAATCTCTAGCTGCATTGCAACACAAATCAAACTAATGATATCCATAATGAACAAACAAAAAAATATGTCCTTACATTTTACATTTCTTAAGTAAATTTATAAATAATTCATTGTAGTCAAAGGTCTAAAAAGCTTATATTGAGCACAGTTCCTATGACATATCTGAGTTGCTCACATGAATCAAAACATTACACAATTTCGTGATTTCAGTTTGGGAGAGATAAAAAAAAATTTAAAAAAAAAAAAAAAAAAAAAAAAATAAAAAAAAAAAAAAAAAAAAAAAATTGGGGAGAGATACAGGAGATGAAAATTAGGGCAGAAAATTGTTTCTACATTAAATTAACACACTGACAAATATAATATATTGGAACAACCATGTAATAAAATGTGAAGATTCATTAATTGTGATCAATCAAAACCATTTTTGTTTCTGGCGCGAGCTATTAAATTTTAATATTGATTGTGTCCAGACAATTAAGAATATTAATAATGAAAGATTTAAAATTTACTTATGGGGCTGAAGGGTGAGCCCTGAACTTTACCTAACTTTAAGCCATTGGAATGTGTCTGGTCTACTAGACCACTAAATGCTGCCATAAATAATATTTGAGTAAACTTCAGTTTTTATAATATTAGCACTAGGCCCCAAAAATCACAAATATATTTTTTTTACCATTTTTAAAAGAAATAATAAATTTCCCATGCATGTTCAAATTGAAAGTCGAATATTGACAAAATAATGTAAGTTTTTATTTGTTTTTTTTTTAATTTAGATGAATTAATTAAAGACCCTACACTTACATTCACAAAAAAATTAATCAAAGAACTTACACTCATAACAATGTCACAGAAATAAATTATAGTTAAAGGTGGAAGAGTTAGTAAAGAAGATCTGGTTATTTATTAATGAAAGACAATATAATGCGGCTTCAACAAAATTTATTGAAATTCAAGAAAGGGACAACCTCTATATAAATTTCATAGTTCAGAAATCATCTTGATATTACCATTAACTTCACAAATAGTAAGCACAATTTTCTTTCTAGCTGAGATGCAAAAGGTGTCAGATTTTTCATTCAAATTTATTCACCTTAAATTCACAACTTGTTATCACATTAGATTTTTCACTATAATTTTGTTTATCTTTATATTTTAGTTGAAGTGACAAAGTCACCGCAAAAATGTTTAATTAAAAAATGTTTACATTATCTAATTTTAAATGAAGCGTTATTTTAAAACATAGCCATTACTTGTCAAGAAAGTAAAAGCTAATCCTTGTTATATTTTCAACTTTTAAAAATAAGGCACTGTAATATCTCAATATAAACAGTAAACTCTGACAAGAGAAATAATTACATTTCACAAATTAAAGAAATTATGATTTTTTTAATATAATCTTTTCTGATATGAATAATTAAATAATATAGTCATAAAGAGAGTTTATCTATGAAATGTTTGTAAAAAAAATCAATATCTCCTTAACATGTCGGTCAATAAGTTTTCATCAGTTTAATGTGAGTCCATTCTTTCAGTCAATTTTCTCCAAGCATATTCATACTGTTTTTCTGCCTGGCTTGTAGGGTAAGAGTCGCAAGGCCAGTGAAGAAAATCCAAACAGAAATGTGGAAGCAACCCACTTAACTGTAGCAGATGTTGTCATGTCTCGATCACTGTAAGGAAAAAAATAGGAGTTGATAACCTTGGGTTTCATAGAATTCACAAGGGTAGTCAATCTAATCACAATCAGAAATGATAAGCAGAATGATCAATACATTTATCGTGGGCCCTCAAATTATACAAGAAGAAGAAAATGTGTGTTGAACTTGAAAAACAATAATAAAATTTTAAGGATGAAGTTTATTACATAACTCATCATTTAACTACAACTGAGGATGAACAATTAGTCTAGTCCCCTTTAACTATACAAAGAGACCAAGAGGAAGAACTGTAAACTATTTACTTTATGACCCTGCTCTTATACTTGTACAACATTCTATGTTTATTTCACATTGTAATATGTTTACGTTTTTAGCTAAGGTAACAGATGTGGTTTAAATTATTTTGTCTGTTCAGAAAGCTGTACTTTTATGCAAGGCTTTTGCCATAAAATTAAAATGATACTGGTAACTTACTAGCATACTTTTCCAGCATAAGCTGCCTCTAAGCAGTGTAAAATGACTGTTATGTAGCATCTGAAAGCAGAAACATGCATAGTTTATGTGCAATAAAGTGTGTGATACCTTAAAAAGGAAATGTATTTCTAAGACATTAAACTGAATACTTAACTAAATTGTGCTGCAATAACACTCATTCCTCTAACTTTGCACATGCACAGCCTAACACTCATTTCTCTAACTTTTCACAGCCTAACACTCATTCCTCTAACTTAAATAAAACTTAAAGCTCTTCAACTTCAATCAACAGTTATTTTTTTCTCTCTAATTCATTATATTGTTAAATCTTATCATCTGATGTTTAAACTTAAACAGACATCAACACAGCGAGCTTACGTAAAATGTCATAATGTACAACTTCTGTTTACAAGATAGGTTGGCCTACTTACAATAAAATGTTCAAATTGTGGTACTGGCTCATATACTTTCCAAATGTTGCTATTGGACCTAGAATATCAGGGATAGTGTCTGGTGCAAAAGTTGAAGCCTGAGAAGAGAGGTTAAAGGAACAATTAACTCCAAGCTTTTTATGTGCTCATTTCCTTAACATACACAATCTGTGTTTTATAACGTCGTAGTATGTATCAACCAGTGAAAAGACTTACACAATCACTAAATCAGGGGACGAGACTTGGGGACAAAAGTGTGGGAGCTCACCCAATATCACCCCCCCCCCCACCCGAAATAAATTTGAATATTTTTATTTCGTCGGGTGATTACGTATAATTTTTAAAAACAAGGCTACTTTGCCAGCATTTTGTTTAAAGGGGACAAAAGTGTGGGAGCTCACCCAATAACACCCCCCCCCCCCACCCGAAATAAATTTGAATATTTTTATTTCGTCGGGTGATTACGTATAATTTTTAAAAACAAGGCTACTTTGCCAGCATTTTGTTTAATGGATTTTGATTTTTCTTTCATTTTTTGGATTTTATTTTTGGTGGTACCTGCAACAACGTGTGTAAGAGTGTATTCCATGAAACTGTAGGTTGGATTTACATTATTCTAAATATTTTTTTTTTAATTTTTAATCTTTCAAATTCAAATGTACGCTTTTCTTAGTACAGTACAGTAACTGTAGCAAACGAACAGTGATTTTAGGGTTCATGTTAGGCGCTAGGTCACAGATTTTAGATTTGAAGATTTACGCTTAAGTTAGTTGGAGTGGGGGGGGCACTAAATTTAGGGGTAAATTTATGCTGAGTTCGTTTGTGTCATCTTATTTCTCAGCAAAGGTCAGCGCAGTGAATAGTTTCAGCTCAATCGTGCAGAACATTGCTCGTTAGCCTAAGCACTACTGCTGCACTGAATGAAACTGCATGAGACTATCTGTGCATGTAAATAAAATCTTCCCAGGGAAAATTGATGATAGCAATCTCTTTGATAAGCTAAAAGAAACATACTCGCAAAACATTTCTGTAGATTAAAAAAATGGGTGCAAATATTTCAACATGTTAAAGCAAATGATATAATTTCGGTACAATTGCAACCACTGCTTGAGTTTTCATTCAGACTTCCGGGCACAACAAGGACCTGTGGAGGGTGCTTTCTGTCAGGTAAACAATGCTTGAACGCCTCAGAAATCGTAGCTGAAAGTAGGCCCTAATCACTCTGAGAAATATTTTGATTGTTCAGTGTAACATTAATCTAATGTGTCCTCAATTTTATGAAATGCTTCTTGAGAATGGAAATTCGTTAAAAGTTATTCATGGGTCTGCAAAATATTCACAATGTGACAATCCTAGTAATAGTATCAAGTATGTAACCAAAATGATGTACAGAAGGATAGTAAAAATCATTTACAACACCTTTTGTTGTTTTTGTTAACCCTCCCCCCCCCCCTCATTGTTTATGCCTCAGTTGCTGTGACCCTTTGTGTCCGTACTTAGCATCCAGAAAATCTGGTAAGCTAAGTAATAGTATCAAGTATGTAACCAAAATGATGTACAGAAGGATAGTAAAAATCATTTACAACACCTTTTGTTGTTTTTGTTAACCCTCCCCCCCCCCTCATTGTTTATGCCTCAGTTGCTGTGACCCTTTGTGTCCGTACTTAGCATCCAGAAAATCTGGTAAGCTTTCTAACCTCCTTGTGGTACTAGTACTAGTAGTTGTCTCTAAGTTGTATTATTAGTAAAGCCTATTGCCTATTACCTATTACTATTAGTATTAGCCACACCCCCAGTGCTAGTCTACGGCTTATAGTTAATAAATTACCAGCAGAAGCCATATACCAAACGTGATGATAAGCATCCAAAATGGATGAGGAAGTGTAAAATAGTTCCTATCAAAACCACTTCGGTTTGGAACTTTAGCACTTTTACTTTTAGTTTTAGATGTAGAGCTTTTCTTATGATTTTTGTCGGCAGCCATTTTGTTTGAGCGTCTATCGCTACTTTAAACGTGATCAGCTGATGACAATCTACTGCATACACTGATTTTTGTAGTTATTGGCTTTTAGACATTATTTTGTACATTTATGCTTCAAGATGGAAAATATAAAAACGTAAAAACTAATTCCCATTAGAGTTTTTTCTTTTACCGCAATTATTTTAAATATTTGCAGAATGTAAATCAATTTTATTTTTGTTTCTCTTTTTATATCCTATATTTTAATTTCACTTTTGTGTGTTGAACTTTAGGGCAAAATCTTGGGCCCGCTAATTTACCCACTTCCCATCAACCTATCGAGCTGAAAATTGGTACATGACAACACATTCTTTCAAATTTTAACCCCACCCCCTTTGCTATTTAAAAGGGGAACAATAACAATTAGCATGATTTCACAATATAAAATTCCCAATAACTGCGCTAAATGATATTCGGTTGTTGTTTTTTTAAATTGCAAGTGTGTAATATTTTCTTTTGTTTTTCTGAAATAGTTGGTGAATTAAATCTGCAGTGTAAAGGCGGGTGGGTCATTAGAATATTAATGTAGTTCAGTGGCGTTAAAAAATGTGCGATTGCGAGCACTAATTTGGGATTATTATAAAATGCGCTACTTGTACTTGTATGCATCTTTTGTCAAATTTTTAGTCCCGACGCCCATTGCTCAATATTGCATTTTATTAAGGATTTATACCAGAAACTTTGCTTTTTGGGGGTCGTTTAATTCATGCTGAGCTTTGAATAAATGGAAGTAGGCCTAATATTAATATTGTTTATCATGAAATTATTTCTTCTCAAGCTCTTAACCAATGTCCAAGGGGGAAAAGTTGTATGAAGAGTTGGGGGGGGGGGGGGGTTAACAGTGGGCCTTGTAGGATACATAATGAGTGGATTTAGAGGTTATTGGTAGAGGGGTGGATGGTAAAGGAAGATGAAGGAGTGGAAAAACCTTAATATTGCTCATCCCCTTCATTATATAGAAGCTACATCATATGTTACCCACCACCTAGTAGAGAAGTGAGTGAGGGCAAAAAGGTTAAGCTTAGTGAATACTTAAGCAGGGTTTCCCAGCCTTGAATGCTCACACTAAATAAAATAAAAGTCAACTTAATAATTAACTAGTAACTAGCATGACACTGACAGACATTAAGACAATGTGATTATATGAGTCCTCTGGCTTGTAGTGACATTACTTATTATTGTCCAAATAAGTCTCACCACCATCACTGGGTGACTGACACCCCCCCCCTCAGCCCCCTCTGAGAAAAAATCCTGCCAGCGTACATGTCACCTAATGTTATTGCTTGAAATGTTGAACAACATCAATTCAACAAGCTTGTGCCAGAAACATAGTCAGATTTATTATTCATAAATTACAAATTTAAATAGCTTGACATACATCAATGTGAGAAATAGTATCTATCTATAGTCAGATTTAAGTAACAGAAATAAAAATAAATTCCACAAACAAAACAGAACATGAAAGCTTTAAAAAAAACATGAAGATAAGGGCAACAGGTGCAGCCATTTTCTTGTTTGTTTTTCTTTTATACATGTATTTAATTTAGAGTAACAAATATCTTTTAAAATAATCATCTTGTGAGCACAAAATTAAACAATGAACCTTGGGTGGCAAACTCATAGGTTTAATGCCAACACAGATGACAACTGCTTTCTCACTCTTTTTTTTCCACTTGGGCCTTGTATTTCAGACATAATTATCAGTTACACACTATTTCATGGGCATAACATAAAGTCTGTGGCAGATGCATTCCACTGGTCAAGAGTGGCCGAATGTGAGGCACCTATTTATTTATAGCTATTGAATTATTTCACACACAAAAAAAAAAGAGAGAGAATCAAGAGCTGTTCTTCTTACAAACACACAAAATGATCTCACTCCTGATGAAACATTCAGGCAAAACTTGGGCACATACAATGACATCATCTTAAACTCGTACACATACAAAAAACATAGCATATTAAAAAATATACCCCAGCAAAGTCTTCACAATGCTGTATTTTACACAGTCAGTTTAGTTTTTGTATATGATCAATGGTTGATGGTCTATATTAGGTTATAAACCATGATTATCCTGTATAAACTTTTAACACAATTCAGTACTTGAGAGTAAAGATAACAAAGTAACAGAGCAATCATTGCACAATACCATTCTGCACTAAACACCCTAATATTCTTTTTCACTCACTTGAATGGTATAGTTTCAATGCTTTACATCGTCATTCAATTTATAGTGAAGAAATGTACACGTTTTTTGTTTTTTTTTATACCTGATCAAATTTTTGCACAAATTTTTGTATATGACACCTATATTTTACATCCGTCTTTTCCCCCAATTTCTAGTTAGCGTGTTAGAAAAAATGCACATTAACTTTTATCAAACATTAACATTGTCAACTTTTTTTTTGTCACTTAAATGAATGTCATTCAGATTTTAATCCAAATATAGATGTCGGCTACTACTCTGATTTATGTAAAAAATCTGAAACATTATAGCACAGACGGCCTCATTAATGAGGTTCCCTTCATGAAGAGATAAGTGATAGAAAATTAATGAGATTCCCTGCATGAAGAGATAAGTCTGATAAGTGATAGAAAGTTAATCACCTGTTAGCAGTTTGACAATAAAGGAAAAATCACACACCATCATAACTCATAATCTCCAGTGTCTGTCTCAAAATAATGTTAGCAAAGTATGGAAAAGTGTTGCATTTTCAGAATATGCAACAGCATCCTCTATAAAAGGGTACTTGCACACCATTTTGAAATAACTTTTGGATTGAAATAAGGACTATTTCCCTCCCAACTTTAACAGAGAATTTTGAGTTACTCAAGTCTAAAATGTATTTAATTTATGAAAACAACAGTCATTTTTAAGGGTAATCACTAGTCATTAATATTCTTATAGTACTGCTTTGCGCTTTCTAGATAGTGAAAAGCATGTGTTGTTTTAGAGGCTGCAACCTTTGGTCAGGAAGAGGAAGTTAGAATAATAATTTTAAAAATATAAGGCTAACTCAAAATAAGCTTTTGAAGAAATATCTCCCTTTAGTTTCAAAGATACGTTGCAAACAGCTTTTAAGACAAGGGATTAAATTTAAAAGTATTTAACATTTCCTTAATATATTAATACATATACATGCAAAAATATCTTGTCTTTCTAATGTTCACAAAATGAACAATATTTTTGTTAACAATCGAGAGCTCGTAGGAGTTCACACAGTACAGGCGGCGGTAATTGCATGAGCAGACCGGATATAAATTTAGTGAACATGAGTCATATGATACAACACAGTCAAGGTAAATATGTACAAACTTAGAAACATAGGTGGGGGGAACACCTGTTTTTAAAATCACAATAGGATTCTCAATACTTTACATAACAAACACATATAGTTTTGTTTTGTTGGTTTTTTTTACACAAGAATGAATGATAACGATCTTTTAAAATTCTAGAGATAATAGTAAAACAAAACAAAAAAGGGTAGGGTACAGTCCAAAAAATAAACTTCAACTACTGGGTTCATATAGATAATATGTTCCATAACAAAAATGGGGTGAGAGGATGATGGACACAAAAAAAACTAACCAAAAAATACAGACTGAATAGAAAACAAATTATTAACCCACTTCAGCTAATAAATCCAGAAAATGATTATAAGCTATAAAAAAAATAATAATAATAATTGGTTTACTAGACCAGATAAAAACAGATATAATAAGCAACATAAAATGACGAAAAGACAGATTTTGAAACTTGTGCACTTCCTATAATTTCTATTGTTTAAATTTGAGCAAAATAAATAAACTACTTTAAGTAACTTAGACACTAAATTTAATAAAGTTTAGCCAAGGCTCCAAGTATTTTTCAGTTGGATGGGTTACTTTTTTAATAAACTGCCTAGACACATCCAATGAAACATGTCATACACTAACACCTTTTAAAAATCCTTTCATATCAATTGATACAAATTTTCACTGTTCACAGTTATCTGAAATTAATTTTTTTTTTTTTTAAAAATAAAGCATTTCATTTTTAAATGCCTTGTATGAAATAATGCTGCAACAAAGATTAAATACAATAACTCTGTGTGCACAATCATAGATAAACTCAAATCTTATGTAATCTAAATGCTAACAGTAACAGTAGGCTTTGATAAGAATTGACGATAAATCAAAGTAACCCACAAGCAGACCGAAATGAATTCTAAAAACATGGCACATTTAAATAGTTACTAGACATTGTGGTACAATAATGCAATTTTATCAGTGTGTGTCTTGATGATGTGCAAAAGTAGCTTACTGACCTAATGATGAGCAGGGCTAAAACTTCCTGCACATTTTTAAAAAGCAAGGATAAGGAAAAAAAGGTCAACACACAAAAAAAGCAAGCAAAGGCACACACAAGCTTGCAACAGATATAAATAAGGAATTTAAACCAAAATGTGAGTTTTTTGTGGGAACAGGGTGAATATATCGCTACTATACAAGTCATCTTTTAGGGTTGATCTAAAGACTGAAATTTAGTGCCATACACCACCCCACAGTAAAAAAAAAAAAAATTGTGTTGTTGCAAAGAAAATATAAAAAATTGATTGCCAAAACATATGAAAAACTTAATGAGCAGCAATAATAAATGTGTTCATCTGACAGCAGAGTGTGTAAATCAAGTTTGTCATTCTCTACTCATCCCCTTGTAAATATGATGGTACCACATAGAAACCTTAAAAACTTCCTAGTAGGGACTAAACTTAGTTCTCTAAAGATTGAATTAATCTCCATTATAATGTAGCACAAGTTTAAATAATATCAAAAACTGATGTCCCATTCGTTGTTATTACAAAGAAGCGTAGTTGCAGTTTTGAATATGGCAAGTGCGTATGAGGTTGTCTGGGTTTTAAAATTGTGGTTTGTGACATGATACCAAGTGAAAACTAACTCCAAAATAACATTTCCATCAAGAAAGATATTCAAACTCAGCTGCAAACAACACATAGACTAATTCGTGATTTTTTTTTTTTTATAAAGCATATTCACAAATAAACAATGTAAGTTTCAAGTTTGGCCTTATTTAGATATACATTATAAATTGGCAGGTAACTTTGAACATAGGATAATAAATGAAGGACTGCATAAAAGCTGTGTGAAGGAAATAGTGGAACAAGGTATGTGGAAGCTTGAAATAGAAAGACAGGACAAAAAAGGTAGAACATTTCATCAAAGAGCCTTGCCCGGCATACAGGACAAATGAAGAAACAACAAGAAATAGAGAGGAGTTTAAGCTTCCAGATACCTGGTTCCACTATTAACTTTGAACAAGCAAATGTACCCCGAATGATAAATCATATCTGTTTACAGTGATGCCAAGAACTTTCCTCCTTAGCTAAAGTCATACCTGCACCGAGTGTCTACACAGTAATAATACAACCAGAATCCATTGTATGTGAAGATGGCAAACTTTCATCTGTGCAACAAGGCTGGTTATTGTTTCATAACTAAAACTATTCATTACATTTTACACAGCATTCAATCACTAAATAATAGATCTTGCACATTCATAGCAGGGATATTATTTGAAAAATCTGTTTATTCATAAGGTGTAGGCTTTTTTTTTTTAAAACTCAGTATTCTCTTCATACTGAGCAAAGTATGAGAGGTACAACTGGCAGGGGATAACAAGTTTTATTACACACACAGTATAAACTGTCAGATACACCAGAACTATGTTGATGATCAGATTTCATTTAACTATTCTTTTCCTGTGGACAGTCCAGAAATAACTTACACAGTAAGCATTACAACCAAAACTGTCCTCAAAAATAGAAGGAACAAAAATTTGTTTCATTTCAAAAATGTGGAAAGCTTTCTTTTATGTAATTCACTACATCATCAAAGATGCTGATAGCAAGCAGGTTCATAAAATAGCCATATATTTATACATGAATGCTGTGTTTGAGCAGTTGACTAGAAAAAGCATGCGCACATTGTCCCTCAAACAAAATTCTTACAAGGGATTTGATATGTGCTGTGATCAGCTTCAGGTCAACAACAAATTTAGGGCACCAGATTTTTGTTAATGATTTTTACAGATAGTTAATTTGAGGAATTTCAATTTAAACCTTTCAACAACTTTTGATGAGTGCAAACATCAGATTTGATCAACTTACAAAAAATGTGCACACAAATATTTTACCCTAAAATTGCAGAGGTCTCTCAGATAAATTAATCAAGATAACAAAGTAGTTCTGTTGTTGTTGTTTTTTCAGCAACCTAATGTGTGGGTGATACTGTAAATAATATATTTAAACATTTATTGTGGGAAAACTAACAGGGAAGCTTGTTAAACTTAAATTCATTTCTAGAAGTGTTACTGCCTTTGGCCAGAAAAAAATTAGTCTTCTTTATTTAGTTAAATAATCCTGAAGAATAAATTTTCACAACTTTACTTTTCCCATCAGTCATAGGAGATGAGTAAAATCATTTGTTTTGAAAATCTACAACAAGATATTCTATACAAAAACTTTTAAAAATCCGCTTTTGAAAAAAGAAATTCACTAAAAATTACCTTTCTGAAAGTAAAATACTCCTCCTCCCCCCAAATTTAGAAGAACAAAAACTAAATATTGTATGCAAAGTTTTCAACTTTTTGGGAAAAATGAATGCCCTAAAAAGAATTGGTCACAATGTTGATTAAATTTTAAAAGGCTGTAAACTAAAACTGCTGCAATAGAAAGCTGCTCAAAGGCTAGCTAAACTGTTCCTTGAGCCATCAGGCAGAATAGAAAATCAAAGCAGGTGGACCTTGCTTCAGAACACTCGTGAGACCAAAAGCTAGATGAGATGATACCGGCATTCATTTTCTTTTTCTTTTTTTTTTTGAGAGAATCACTTAACTTCAAAAACAATCAATGTGAACAAGATTACCACACAAAAAAACTGCTGCCAGTGACATTTTGTTTTTTCATTCTTTAAGGCTGTAGAGAAGCAATACTTCAATCAATGTTTGATGTTTCTTCAATGAAGGTTTCAAAATACACAGTTTACTTAATTAAAATAAAATGTGCACACAAAATATTTTTTTCAAAATCCTGCAAGAAATAATTTACCCAATAAAGTTTGTTTTGCAAAAAAGTTTCAGAATTATATTTTACAAGAATAAAAAGGAATAAATGACCAACAGAAGTTTGGGAAGCACTGGTTTTTTTTAAACATAATTTAAATCAAATAGTTTGTTTTTTTAAATTTATTATCTCAAAGTTTCTAGTTTTCCAAATAAATTCCCCAAATATAATAATAAAATATATATTATGATTAATCATACACATGTTTACACTAATTACACGTCATACATTTACATTTTTTCCCCGTATGCACTTTTTTAAAGATAAAAAATATGCAAGTTTACATAAATAAAAAGAAGACAAAAAAGGCAAGAAAAATTACAATGAGAATTCTCAAATGCACAAAGTTGGAATTTTCTGATTTGAATATTAAATTAAAGGGAGAAAATCAAACAGGGTCAATTAAAGGGGATGAAATCCGCATCACATTGGTAACAAACAGCATATGCCTCACAAGCTATAAAAACATGTCATTTGATTGTAGTATAAAACAACAGTGTCTCCACAATGAATCTAAATTGTAAATATCAGTTTAGAATATATGTACAATATTCCTGTGCAGAGATTAATATATTCACCATTCTTCAAAGTTAACCATAAGTATGTATATTTCATTTTTATATGTACACACATACACACACATGAGTCGTACAGCTCAAAACAAAAAGCCTGTGAATGTAAATGAAATTCAAGTTCAGCACTCAATCAAATGTCCAGACCAATCTTTCAGCTCCTTGACACACAAAATGGTACTTTATCCTCACATTTACTGCAAGCATGTGTTCATTTATTCCCTAGGCTTAGACCATCAAATGAATGACATAATGTCAGCCATCTAAAGGAGGTCCTAAGTATACCATGGACACTTCTGTGTTGCCATAAACTGCTGACACAGCAGGGTAAAGCTGTGTATTGGGTAACCCTCGAAACGCTACACCTGGAATCAATCAGAGAAAAAAAAAAAAAGAAATGTACATTGTTTTCGTTTTTTTGTTTAAAATTTGTTTAAATAGTTTTTATCCCCGAAGAGAGATCATTATCTATTTAAGCATGTCCCAAAGGACATTGAACTCTACTCCTTTCAGTTCATAACTATTTAATGTCTTGTGCATCAATTACAATCAAGGCCTGTTGCTTAGCATCCAATAGGATTATATTGGGTGCTTTCTAAACTTATCAGAATGGGTGATAATTTAAAAATAAAGTTTATTTTCACTATGTCATGCTTAGCTTTTAAAATTCCAAAATACTACCCTCCAACACTAATTCAATTTTTTTTCTTTTCTTTCTTAGAGACTACCAGAAGGAAAACATCTATAGGTGAATAAAAATGATACCTTTAGGACAAGTGCACTAGACAAAAGACATGAAGATTATGCTTCCTTAAATTAAATTGATTTAACAATATTCCCTACAATAATTACTCACCGAGGAACTCATAATTTTTTTCAAATGCTAATGTGTTATCTTCGCAATCCAATATAACTCTTATTCTTTCACCAACCTGAAAGGAAAACATTTTTAAATTAAGATGATAATGATAGTAATATCTTTATGCAAGAACTTGTTTTTTTTCTGTGTAGATATTGATTTTAACTTAACTTTCTGCACTTCATGATTTCTCTTAAAAAAACCTTATAAATTTAATAAGCCAGCAGACAAAGTCTGGGAATCAAACATTAAGAAATAACTTCACATGAAAACGTACAGCTTATTCACAGACTATACGAGAGACAAAACTGACACAATGATAATTTTTCTAAGCTTGCTAGTCTAGCAGTTGCAGTACCCCAAAAATAACACATATTATTCTGTCATTTTAGTCTATGGCCATATACAACAGGGGTGGACAACCTTATTTTTTTGCAGAGGGCAGCATGGAAATTATTCTTTGCTGGTGGGCTGGTGATACTTTTTTAGATAATATACATCAATGCAACAGGCTGGCAGGAAAGTTTCATCAACAAAGCAGGCCAATCAAAGACAAATTGTGGAAAAAGCTAATCAACAAAGAAGAACAAAAGAAAAAATGGGTAGAATACTTCAAAGAACTACTAAAGAGGCCAGCCCCAGAAGAACCACCTGAAATTCTCCCAGCAGAAGAAGATCTCCTCATTGACTGCAATGTACCCAACGAAACAGAAATTAAAAATGCCATCAAACTAATGAAAAACGGAAAGGCCGCAGATATACTAAAAGATGGCCCTGACCTGTCATCAAGCATACTTCACAGCTCATTGTGACTACCTGGGACCAAGAAACAATACCCAAGGAGTGGAGAGAAGGATACCTGGTCAAACTTCCAAAGAAAGGAGACCTCCCTAGAGTGCAGAAACGATAGAAGAATCATGCTGGCTTCTGTACCAGGAACAAATATTAAATAGAATTATTCTGCAGAGAATAAAAAAAGTAAAAGACTCCAAACTAAGAGATGAACAGGCTGGTTTTAGAGAAAACAGATCATGTACTGACCAAATTGCAACCCTGCGCATAATCACTGAACAATGCTTGGAGTGGAATGCATCATTGTACCTCAATTTCGACAACTTCGAAAAAGCATTTGATAGCTCGGACAGAGATACACTCTGGAAACTAAAAAGATATTATGCTATTCCTTAAAAGCTAACTAGCTTAGTTAAGAACACATAATAAATGAAGGACTAGATCTATTTCAAGCTGTGTGAAGAAAATAGTAGAACTAGGTATGTTGAAGCTTGAATCGATAGACAGGACAACGTTTTGGCTAAGAGTCTTCCTCAGCAGACAGGACAAATAAAAATATGACAAGAAATAGAAACTAGTTAAAAAACCTTAGTGATCACCATTGTTATTACTGGATGTTGGATTCTCCAAAACCAAGATTACAGGAAGGGAAAGAATATATGAATTGTTACTGTGAAAAGCAAGGTCTTAAATCTTAACAAACAAAAATATTTTAGAAATATATAAAACATAACATATAAGAAAAGAAATACAAGAAAATTGAGAATCATTAGTAGGAGCGTATGTGATTAATTCCATATGTTGATATTGTGCCAAAAAACTGATTTAATTTCTTTTCCATTCTAACTCTTTCTGGTGTGTTGGAATAGAAAATCAGTGCCATGATGGATACATATAATGCCACTTTATGTTTATCTCCATTGAAATTTTATGAGACCAGGGAAAGTTTACCCTGTTCAATATCACGAAAATGTTCAGTGAGCCTATCTGTTATCTTCTACCAGTTTGCATACATAACAGGACCAGCATCTACGGTGCAAAATTGCATATATCACGTTCTGGCTAACACATTTGAAACCCTCTTTGATGTTAAAATTACCTTTCGAACAGATAATGTTTTTGCTTTGGAGTGTACAGGGACAAGTCCTACATCGGCTTCTTGAGCATAGTTTAGTACCAACGTGAGACAGGTAAGCTTGAAGGTGACTAAGAACGAGAAGGTCACATAGATTTTTGTCCCGTCTGAAGACAATAAGTGGGGGGGGGGGGTGGGGTGAGAATGCCCTGTTGGTCTCGGGGTCAGCAAGAAGTATGTGTTGATTCTTTAAGAATATTTTTTTGGCAATCAAATTGTACTGGTGGTAGGTTAGTATGCATTTCATTCAATCTTCATTTTTATTTGGAATAGGTTTAAAAGCATCATTCAGTGTGATACTGCCGATACGATTGAGTGCCGAGACAAGAGTAGTTTCAGGATAAGATCTGGAGCGGAAAGTCCATCATTTTATTAGCCCCAATCTAAAAAGTCTTCATCAAGCTGGTAGAAGCCACATAGTCTGAGAAGTTGTGAGAAAGGTACAGAGTCTTTGCATGGTTTGGGTTTTTACCATGTTATGGTAATATCCAGAAAGTTGACAGAATGTCCTGAGATGTGGGAAGTAAATTTTATGGATGAGTGGAATGAGTACCCGGTATAAGAAATCACTAAATTGTTAGAGTTCATATTTTTCCCTGGTCATGATGCCAATGTCGTTATCAATGTATATCTTATAAATTTCTGGAATACGGCCAGTATATGCCTTCTCTACCATGTATTCAAAATGACCCATAAAAAGGCAGGCATAACTATGGTCCATTTTTGTGCCCATGGCTGCGTCACTAATTTGGTCAAAGAAATGACCATTGAATTCAAAGGAGTTAAGGGTGAGTACCATTTCAGGCGATCTGATAATAGTGTCAGTAGGTAAGCAGGGATGTCGTTTGTTTCCAAGGAAAAATCTCAAAGTCCTAAGACTGTCATCATGTGGATTAGATGTGTATAAGAAGCAAGTATCAAGTAGAAACGAGTGTTTTGTATCAGGGATAATGTTTAGGGAAATGAATTGTTTTTAAAGCATGGTTGGTTTCTTTAATGTAAAAAAAGGCTGAAAGACCTCATTGAGAAATTCTGAAATGTGTTCAGTGGGGCGAGAGTTGGCCGAGACAATAGGTCGTCCCGGGTTGCCCGCTTTGTGAATCTTAGGCAGCAAATAGAAGGAAGGTTTGCTTAGGTCACTATTGAAAATGTGTAATGTAGAAGCTGATTCTGGAAGTGCTGATTTGTCAATAAGTTGTTTTGTTGTTTGATGCATAAGTTCATTATTGCGGATAATGGAGTTATTCTTGATGGGCTTATAGAATCTTGTCTCCTCTAATTGTTCATTGGTTTCTTTAATGTATCAGTTTTTGTCCCAAACTACGACAGCACCACCCTTATCAGCATCTTTAATCACAATGTTGTTACCTTTACGTAATACAGATGTTATGTAGATGATATGTTTACATCATATTTCCCCCATGCTGTGAACTCTAGCAGGCGCTGCGTTAGTATTGGGCATGGCTTTTTCTCTTTGATCTTGTTAACAACAAACCAATCTATTGCCTGTTTTCTTGACTCGAATACGATAGAAAATGGTGTAAATTATAGAATTTTTTTGAGTCACTAATACAATGCGTAATATGCCTGGATTTTTCTGCAGAATAAGACTATAAAAAGCAGAGAGAGCATTATTTTTGGGACGACAAGATTTGTTCTTTACGGGACGAGAGGCTAGCATTGATTTTTTAGAAATTGTTATTCTTGATAGAGCTGTGTTTACTTATATGTATGAATTCCTTTCGTTGTTGTGTCGTATTATCTGTTTTTGTTTTTATCATTTGGTATCGTCTTGTTATGCAATGTTTTGGAACGAGCCATACATGTAAATAGGAGATTAATTTCTCCCTAGGGATAGCAGTGCATAGCACAGAGAGTACAGGAGATTCTCTTTTAGAGAGTTTGGAACACATACAAAGATATGAGTTGCAGGGTTTTAAATGAATGTGAACTCAAAAACCCGTTTTTAATAGAATCTGGAGTTTGACCGGGATGCCTGCTCTCACCATTCCTCTTACTGTTATCCATTGACTGGATCATGAGAGAAACAACACAGGATGGGTGTAACGTATCAGTAATTAAAGGATATTTTGAGAATCTTGAAGGATATGAGACTGGTAAGGAGAGTACAGAAGAAGCATGGTGCAACAATGATTGTAGAGAGAGAAAAGCAGATAATTCCATAATTATTACTGTATGAAGATATTTGCTATTAAACTTATTGAAATTACTTTTAGATCTTGAAAAAGGCAGCATTAAATATTATATGCCCACTCCATCGTCACATTGTGATGGACGGATGCCAGCAGCAAATATTATATTGTTTGATAGCTTTATCATACTGCGCGTACGTCAATAAAAGTGTTGCATGTAACAGCGGGACTTGACATATGGAGGTGAGAAACTGTGTGATTTAGGGAGCCTTTAAACAGTATGTTGAGAAATAATTGTCCACAATAATAAGACAATAATAAAAATATATGTTACATTAATAATATATCACAACGTCTTCACATGAAAAACGCCTATATGTTACAAATGGTGTCAGAAGAATAAGGAAAAACTATGTCTACAAAAGTTTCAAAAGTAGTGTTGAACACAAAAATGGAATCCAGTGGAAAACTTTCAGACAGCTGGAGGATTTGGATTTTGCAGATGACATTGCACTTTTATCACATAGCCATAAAAAAAAATGCAGGAGAAAACAACAAAACTTGACTCTCTATCCCAGGAAGTTGGATATTTATGCTAATAAAGAGAAAACCAAGACCTTAAGAATAAATGGAGGGGATGATGGGGTCATTGGGATAAACTTGAAGAAGTTTAAACTTTGACATACCTGGGAAGCACCATAAAAAAAAAAGGGGGGACAGATGAGAACATAAAGTCTAGGGTCCAAAAGGCAAGAGGCGCATTCAATTCCCTGTGAAACATCTGGAACTATTGACAAAAACAAAGTTACAAATAGTCAACTCAAAAAGCATTTCTTCTGTATGACTGTGAAACTTAGAGAACAAAAACAAACATTAAAAAACTGCATGTTTTTATAAACAGATGCTTGAGAAGGATCCTCAAAATAAGATGGTTTTCCAAATTATAAAACTATTCTTTGGGAAAGAACATAAAGTGTTCCAGTGGAAAGAGCGATAAAAAAGAGAAAATGGAGATGGATAGGGCACACACTGATGAAACCAAACACTAATATCACAATAAACGCCCTGACTTGGAATCCTCAAGGTCCCAGGAAAAGAGGAAGACCAAGAGCCACATGGAAGAGAAGATTAGAGGCAGAGGTGAAGAGAATGACGAAAAGTTGGGCTGAACTAGCCAAGATAGTCTAGGACAGGGACAGATGGAAAAGTATTGTGGATAGCCTATGCTCCATTGGGATTGAGAGAGGCTAAGAAGAAAAAGAAGATACATCATTTAAGATAGGCTTCGAAAATTTATCTTGAGTTCAGGTCCCACATAAGCAGTGGAACACCTTTTAAATATGATGTGATTATTATCATATAATTAGTTTGAAAATTTTACACTGTGATTATTAATTTTCATTGGATTTTGCAGATAAGTATTCCTAATTTGAACATTTTACAAAACATTAATACATTTCTCAGATGGTCTTTTGGATTACATTAAACATTTCAGCAGGTTGCAGGTTGTCCACCCGTAATATATAGCCTTATTTTAGTTTTCTCATATTCCTTTTTAAATGCCTCCTTCGGCACATTGGCTTTTAATCTATTCGGATGAACATAGCTTTATATTACAAAATAATACAGTTTTATATATAAACATCAACTAGCTTAAGGAAATGAGCAAAACAAAGCATGGAAAAAACTGACAAAAAGGATGAAACAGAACAACATTCTACTAGTATTAGTAGCTTTTGAGCTTTGAATTTTTTAAAATTGATAATGTGAGTTTGTCCTTTTTTATGGTCCGTCTATGAATGTACCAGTAGCAATTAGTAGTTATGGACTGCACCACGTCATTTTGTGAACCTATTCTTTAAATTTCATTTTAACACAATACTGGTGTTACTTTATTATCTGTTGAAAATAGTATAAAATTGCTTCTAAACCAGGCCTTCTTTGTTAACTGATGCTTTTGCTTTAAAATACATAAAAATTTGCACTTCATTCACTGAAATAATGAGATCATTATGTACTCGTACAATAATTGACAATAAGTTACAAAAGAAACATTTTAAATTTTGTTCTTCAAAAGACTTTCTACCAAATAAGAGTTTAAATTCACTAAAAAGTAGAAAATAATAAAAAAAATTCTTCAAAATTCATTACACAAAATAGTATGTGATAGAAGCTCTTTTTAAAAAGTGTTTTCAATATTTTTTATTTGCTAATTTTTAGTACAGGTATTACAATTTTAATATGTATATATGGACATTTCAAGGGTGATCACTTCACACATTTTGAATAAAACACTCAAGTAAACCATGGTTAGAGGGTAACATGTGTTTTCCGAATAACTTGCCACCCCACTCCCTCAACCCAACTTACTACAGCCGGAGTCTATTTGCTGTATGCCCTGCCCCTAACCCCTTCCAAAAAACCATTCTCATACCCAGCCTTCTCCAGTGGTTCTCTGGGTAAACATTGCATGAGACGGACAATTAACTAAGTGATAGAGACACGTGAGTCAAGAAAAAGATTACAATTTAATGACAAGATGGAAATGCAAGTAGAAAAAAAAGTATTTAAAAAGAGACTACTAAGAAAGGTGCAGAAGAGGTCCAGTAATTAGTTCTACTAATAACTCAATGATATATGAATAGGGTAAGAATTGAGCATAGCAGAAATGTGTGTGTGTCTCTTAGATTTATGAGAAGACTCAGAAACAGGAAGCCTCCATTGTTTACCACATGTGCATAAACCACATTAACAAATTGAGCCCTCAGAAGCCGCAGTTATTCCTATGGCTCAATTCCCCACACACACACAGTCACATCGTAATAAAAATTCATTTTTGTATGAAATTTAAATTGGTGTCTGTTTATGCAATATATTCACTTTTATAAATTTTCTGATGGTTGTTAATCATGTCAAGGTACAGTACTAGTACTTACTTGATATTTTGGTGCGTTATTCAATGGTGGGTAATTCCCTTGACTATCACCATTGTGTATCAAATGATTATCAACTAGATTCCATCCCCAACTGTTATTATCTCCACCAACCAAAGGAAAATAACCTTGGCACTGAACAGGGGAGTCTTTTGTCATCAGACCTATCATTGCTACAGTTCCTAAAGGACCTTCCCACCACACTTCCCAACAGTGACGACCAGTTTTAAATCCTATTTTCCCTCTAGCACCATCTGTTGTCTGAGCTACAGGATTTCGATGGAGTGTGAAGCCATTAGGTTTAATATACACATTTTTAGAACAGTCATTTGGGTTCCAGGCATGATAAAAAGCTCTAAGTTTTGCTTTGTAAGTTGGTACGTTGCTAAGTAGATCTGACTTCAAAGCTTCTTCGGCTAATTTTCGTACACAGTGGAGTCGCCATACATCGTTGTTTTCGTCGTTTAAAAAGCGATACCAGTTTTTGCAAACAAGAGAACAACTCCTGAGATCAGAAATGTCTAAATAAGAGAAAAGAACTTCTAATACTCGGTGGGGTAACCTGGCAGCCGCCATCATTAACGTAGAATCTTTTTAGTTTGGAGGTTAATTGAGTATTAGTAGTTGCATGTTTTAGATAATCGATTCTTTGAGTATTTAGGGATCAAATAATGAGATATATTCCGTCGGCATTATTATGACGGCATCCTTTATTTTTCTCTGTTGTAATATGTCATAAGTTATAAGCCATTGACAAAAAAAGAGCTAAGATATGATCCTTACAAATAAAATATATAACTTTAATACTTTGTCTTCCCTTTCTACAATAACAATAAATTGTGTGGTTGTTTTCAATATAATTAGACGCGAGGCCTAAAATTAGATATTTATCATATTATCAATTCATGAGTTTGTTTTGTAAAAATGAAAACATAAGTCTTACGTTTATAAAATAACAATTAAGTCAAAGTTAAAAGAGCTGGTCTTTTTATTTATAATCCAACACCAAACAGGCCCTAACATTACTAAAGTGCCCAAAAAAGTAAAATATATATAGTGTTGCTATTTTAATATTTATATAAGTAAGCCTATATGATGTGGCGCCAAAAATAGTATATGATTTACATCTCCTTTCATATTAGAAACAAAAATATATATATATTTTTTTGAAATTTGTTACATGTATTTTTTTAAACCGCTTGTTCAGACAATGCAGTATCGAATAAATCTTTTGAACGACTCTTTTGTTGAGTGTTACTCGATAAACATGGCTGCCCCCATCAGTCATGATAAACATTAGTTGTTGTTTCTTTATATCTAAAAATGTTTAAAGACAATTAAAAGGTAAAAAAAAAAAATCATATTAAATGCGATGCTAAGAATTACATTTATCATAAAGGCTAATACTAATAAAAATTAAATATATATATATTATAAATTGTTATATAATATTTAGATAAGTATATTATAAATTAACTTAAATTAACTTTCATATAATATAATAATATTTATATAACTATTATAAGTTCTAGTATAATGTATACCAGCTATTTAAAGGCCCAATTTAATTACCGAAAATGTGAAATAGTACAGCATGAGTATGATTATGATTTAGGGCAACTTCTTAGACTTAAACTTAAGGATTAATCAAAAATAAAAATAGCACTTAATTGACTTAATTTGACTACTTAATACTTTAGTCTAAAGTAAAGTTAAGCTATTACTATTAATTTGGGCTATCTTTTCTTTTTTCAGAAGCAACTGATATAATATGAATTACCAGGGGCTTATGCGATTAGGTCGTATTCAGCCCAGGACTAGTAAAATTTTGAAGTCTTTTGGGCATTTCCAAACCACTGGCTCTACAAATCATGCTAGCTATGTCTCTACTTGGACACCCTTTGCTGCCGCATTTAACACCAGACCACAGAAAAAGCTCAACCTTAGGCTTAATAGAGAAAATGCGGTACTTTTCAACATTTGTTGATATGAGATTGTAAACAGTTCAAAATAAAAAATTGAAAATGATTCATTTGAACTGTGTAATCACTCTATTTTTGCATGTCAGCATTCTTTGGTAGTATTTGATTGAAACAGGGTTCAGCAACCTACGTATATGGATGCCAAATCGGCATGCAGAGCTATTTTCAATGGCATGGACAAGAAGACCTAGAAAAAGATTCTAAATGACTAAAAATGTATCTACTAAGTTAGATTTTTGGTTGCTGAACGAATTAAAAACTTACTTTGGAATAATATTAGCTAAAGGTTGCCCACCGCTGGATCTGAGCATTAACTCCTTAGATTGCACTAATTTTGAAAATAAGCCTAAAAATAATTTTAATATTTATTGTTGTAGTATTTTCAATAAATTATTACTTTTTCTGAATGATAGCAAGCAATGTCTTTTATATCATTGTTGGATTTTTTAATTTTAGCTGATTTCCCCACCCCCCAAGATTTTTTTTTTTTTTTTTAAACTTTATGATTCATTTCATGTCATTTACTTTTTTTTTTCTTTTTTTTTTTTTAGGGTTTTTTTTAAAAATAATTTTAATATTTATTGTTTTAGTATTTTCAATAAATTATTACTTTTTCTGAATGATAGCAAGCAATGTCTTTTATATCATTTTTGGATTTTTTAATTTTAGCTGATTTCCCCACCCCCCAAGATTTTTTTTTTTTTTTAAACTATATGATTCATTTCATGTCAATTACTTTGTTCTTTCCTTTTTATGTTTTAGGGGTTATTTTGCATCCCTGAACTGAAGGATCATACAGGCTTTTATTTACTAAAGCAAAATGCTGAGCATCAGGTTTCTAAGTTGGTAGAGGAAGCTTCTTCAAAGTCAAGGAAACGTAAAATAGTGACAATATTTGATGAACTCTCAGACACCCTTTGTCGTGTGGCTGACTTGGTAAGTTGTGAATCTCTTGGACCAGAAATCATTATTCTTTATCCTGTGTGCTGCAGGTGGTCTTTTAAATAATTGAATTTTGTTCTTAAGGGCATTTCAGAATTATGCCAGTCTTTTATTAAATAGATGAAATAAAATGACTAATGTGAAGTACTAAAGTTTAATACTTTTGGCCCTTATACATTAAACACTGGTCATCTTTGATTAAGATTTTGAGTTAATATTTTCAATAACTAAACCAACCTGTGGATTGCTTGTTTTTTATGTTTGTGTTTAAATTAATTTAAAGGGCATCAAAATAATTGGTACCTTACTACTGGAACCTTTGAAAATTAAAAAATTTCGTTTTCATGTAATTAAACATTTAAAAAATTATAATTTTTGGCATAGTTTTAACCATTTCATCTTTATCAAGTTTATCGCTGCATCTTGACCAAATATTTAACTTCATTTTGAATTATGGAAGAAATATTTTATCTATTTCAGGCAGACTTTGTTCGTGTTTCCCATCCAAGAAATGATTTTGCACAGGCTGCGGAAGAAATCTGTGTTGAATTATCAAGCCTTGTGGAAAGGTACTGAAATTCTTTTCTTTTCTTTTTTCTTTTAAATATGTAAAATAAGATGCCCTTTCACAATTGTTGGCATGAAACATTCAAGGAGAAATAAGTTTCATGAAATATTGTTTTTAAAGTGTGATTATTCCCTCAATACTTATGTCAGTTACCGTTGATGTTCACCCTAATCTAAAAAAGGATATATTCATTAATTTCATTAAGGATTAAATTTTAAAATTATTTTTTCTTTATTTAAAAAAAAACAATGAATCTCGAATAGATATCATAATTCTGATGATTTTATACATAGTATTTGTATGAATCTCAAATAGATAACATAAAAATAGTATGTTCCTATTAAAATTTTCCCTTAAAACTTGTCTTATTGCATTTTCAAAACATTTGATACCGTAAAGGGAAAAGCTGGATAATGATTAAGTCAAATTCATTACAACTCGATCACAAAGAATATTCTATAATCTTTCCTGAGTCCTGGAAACAAGCTGTTGCATTGGAGGAATTGTTATTTCCCTTTCTTATGCATTTAAATCGTAACGGCCAAAGGGAAACCAATTTGACTTTCTCATTGGATGTGTTGTGATCAAACGATTAAAAATTTTTTATTGTAATTGTTATTGTTTAAACTAGAGCTTAAAATTCTCAGGTTAAACACCAATCTTTCACTTCACACTGCACTTAAAACTGTGCTGGAGGAAGGTGATGTTGTTCCCACAGATGCGCTAGACAAGAGAGTTACAGAATTGTTTATGTTTGACTTTGAACAGAGTGGGATTCACCTTGCAGATAAACAGGTACAGCAGGGTCAGTTATGGTAGAAGATATATTTTTGTTTAGTATGTATTGCTTCAAATTATTTACTGTTTTATGTATATTTGTTGTGTACAATGATGTGATGTAGTTCTGCTGTGTCATGTAGTGGTGTTGTGTGAGTGAGCGGTGGTGCTTTTTTTTCCTTTTGTTATTTCCCCTCTAATCATGAATATAACCCAGCCATGCATGACTGTGGCTGAGTGTTGGAAAGACCTCGTGGTAAAAAATGTGTGTACATTTTTGTGAGAGACAGTGAACATTGTTTTTTTGGTGCTGGAGTGAGTTTGGATAGAGATATTGTTATATTTTCACTAGGAGTTCTGTTGCTATATTTTTTTGTAGGATTGTTGATAGGGGTGTGCCGGACCCCGGTCCGGAATCCGGTTCCGCCGGATTTTGCACTATCCGGTGAAATCCGGTTCCGCCGGATTTACATGTATCCGGAACAACCGGATTCCGGAATATACCGGATTTCGGAATTTGCCAGATTTTGTGACTCACCGGAACATAATCTGAAATAAAAGTAATTCTCTTTCCCGAATTCCACACGATCACGATACATTAATCGATTGTTTCGAGCGTTGAGCTTGTTTAATGTTTAATATTCCGTACATACCAGAGGCTAGAGTCAGCACCGCTAATAGTGGCCAATAGTGTAGGGACTTTGATAAGAAAATTTAAACTTTTTGTAAAAATAAACCAATGGCATAGTTGAAAAGATGTAATTTTTTAAAGAATTATAACACCAAAATCATATTTTTAGCTGTTGTAGTTTTAAAGTTATGAATTTTTAAAGTACGACTTGGTTTGTCATTTTTTAACATGGACTGCATCTCCACATTCTGTGATCTCATTCCGCCAATCCCGTCATGCGCAATGACTATATAGTTTATATAAGGCAACGCATTCCCTGCCTTATCACTAAAATACTGTTTAGACTTAGTTTAAACTTTCAACTTTGGCACATGAATAATTAATTAAAGCTTTCCCTGACCAATGGTTTAATAGTTTTTGCACACGGCAAACTCTTATGAATGAAACTCTGAGGTAGTACTACGATACAGTTATGCAAGTGGCTGTGAATGGTTGCCAATGACAACGTGTTGCACACGGTAAATTCTGATCATTTATAATATGGATTCTACCGGGTTGTTAAAGCTCAAATTAAAACATTCCAGTTTAAATGTCTTTAAATGCATTCTGAAACACAAGTTATCAATTATTTTGATGTAAATAGTGATAATAAATTAATATTTCCTAAGTATCGTCAACTTCCGCCATTAAAAAGGGGGGCGTGGCCAACCCCATGGCGAAATTAGGTTGAGCGAGCTGCATAACCTGCTGCGAACGCGTAGAAACATGGCGTCTCTCGTAAGACACTTATCCAAATGGAACGGAACTCAAATATATATCGAAAGTACTAATTTAATAATAAATAGACACACACATCGGAAAATTAAAAACTCGGATTTTTTGGCGCCGATTGCGAATTCCCATACACAAAAAGTAGTAGTCCACCTTGACTTACCGAAGTATCTACCAATAGTACCAAAATCCGGAATCCGGGAGAAACCGGAATCCGGATCCGGCGGATTTCGCATAAGAAAATCCGGATCCGGTTGGAAAAAACGGATCCGGCACACCCCTAATTGTTGAACAGGTCTATTTATTCTGAACATCAGTGATTATTTCTTATGCATTTTCTACTGTCATGCATATGAAGCCAGTAAAAAAGTAAACCTGAACCTTTTAACAGCGTTTTTTTTTTTTTAATCATACACACGTCAACTCTGCAGGAGCTTGAAGGAAATGAGTGTTTAACTCTGTAGTTGGCTATAGCGTAGGGGACCAACCTGTAGACAATGTTCTATTGGCCACAGATCTAATCAATTTAAAATATATAGTTTACTCTTGAAAATTAATTTTTTTACCACTTTGAGATGTATACAAACTAATCTTCTTGTTGTTCAAAAGAAAGTAAACGGGAAATAATTGTAGGGTCATTACTTAAATATTATATAAGAAATTTTTGTTTTTTTTAAGGTCTTAAATTTGTGTGGGATTTTAATTAAAAAAAAATTGGTGATAGTTTTTTGACAAAGAAAATTTTGAAAATTTAACATTTATTTTAAATATTGTTTGTGCCTTTTCAATATATTTTATTTCCTTTCATCAGCATCGTTCTTTTATTTTAAATTAGAGAGAGCAGTTTGTTCAGCTGAATGAAAGAATTCATATGCTGGGAACATTTTTTCAAAGAGGAGCACAGAAACCTGTGCAAATACCCAAAAGCAAATTGCCAGAAAATTTGAGACATGTGTAAGCTAAAAAGTTAAAAATGGATGACCTATTTCTCATGAAAATCATTACAAAATTCAGAATCTGCCATTACAATTTATGTACCACTTTTTAATATGATATCAATTTTTTAAATGATTTTATTTAAGCATATAAACCAAGTTTACATGTTTGTTTACCTGATTTATAATTTATAGGATCTGTTTAATAGTTTTTATATTTTTTCATTTTAGCTTTGGTCTTGACGGAGACAACATAATGGTCACTGGCTTGTTTTCTGATCACTACAGCAGCATTGTAAGTTGAAAGACTTCAGATTTTGTCATCTTTGGTTTTTATCAAGTTAAATTTGTATTACAATTTTCATGATCTGGTTAGTCATAAATAGTAAACTAAAGCAGCGTCATTGATACTGATCAAATGCTATCTTATATGCAGGTTAGAGAAGCTGCTTACAGAATATTCCTTCACCCTGATCAGCACCAGGCTGAGGTTCTGGATGCTCTTCTCACAGCAAGGTACCAGCTGGCAAGACTTGTTGGCTTTGACACATACTCACAACGGGCCAACAGAGGAACAATGATAGAATCTCCAGGTCTGTTTTTTTTTTAATGCATCTAAAAATAAATCTGTAATAAAAAATAAAAGTAATTTAATCATTGGCAAGAAATAGGCATTATGCACATTCATTTCCAAATTGAATGTTGTAAAGAAATAAGAGACTGGATAGAATTTATATATAAAAATTAGATGCACAATAGTAATCTTTATGACCTCCTATCCCATATTAAAGTATATTTTTTCAATTATACAGATAAAATTACAGAGTTTTTAGATCTGCTTTCGGATAAATTAAAGCCAAGGTAATTATTGTTCTTACATTAATTCGCACTGAACTTATTAATAAGATATTGCAAACACTGGAATAAATAATATATAAATATAATTATATAAATAATATATACATTTTTTTAACACTAGAAAAAATTCTGTATCCATTGTCTGGCTTTTGTGCCTATAGTGCAATGATTTGTTTCAATAAGCTTTATTAACTAAATTATGAATTAATTAAAGAAATGAAGCTTAAAATTTGTTTTAAACTATTGAGTTTTTATAAAATTGCCACTGCTATATTTCGTTATAAATAATATCCAAGGCGAAGTGGTTCAAACAGTGACTGATTTTAATATCAACTTTCACAATAATATGAAGATATTTAGAATTATATAACACAAATTTTCATTTCCATTATCTTCTAAAATATAATCTTCTTTTACTTGATAATGATCAACAAAATCGTGCTACAGTCTCTGTTCATTCCATTATTATTCCCTCCAGTATTGAATCAAACACTCTGATTGGCCAGTTCCTCGCAAGTCCCAACACTATATTATACAAGAAATATAAGCATATTACTTGTCTCCCATTAGTGGTTCACATATTCACATCTGTGACAAAATTAATATTGTCAGCTGACATACAAATTAAAACTTGATCAATAATGTATCTTTTTTTTTCATTTGTTTATTGATGGGAAATTTTAAGTTATGTTATGAGCCTTTTAATTTTCATTATTTTCAGATCAAAGGTGGACTATGATGTTATGCTACGACTTAAACAAGAACAAGAGCGTGGTGCTAAGGTGAAACATTAGTCTACTAATTATAATTATGGAGCAGAATTATAGCTCAGACTATGGTTAATATATTTCATGGATTAGAGATGGGGATTTGTTTTTTTGTGGTTGCCCTAGCTCCTGCAAATTTTAAAGAATGCAACAAAATTATTTTTAAGTGGAAATTTCTTACATTTTTTTTTAAGGTGAAATATTTGATTTAAATAATTTTGTCACTTTTGTTTCAAATTAAGCCAGAATCATTCTTTTTAGAATTTCAAAAGTTTTGTGTTTTGCTTAGTTCATTTTGTGAGTAAATATGCTTTTAAACTAATGTTACCATAGAAAGTATTATTTGCATTTGTAGTCATTGATTTAAAAAGATTAATACACAGTAAGTGCTAAATGATGGAGAACTGAGAAAAGATGTTTTATTCAACGAATTTTTATTTTTTTTTAAATTTTTGGTCAACTCTTTGAAGAAAAATATCATATATGTCCACTCACCAAAAAAAAACAACAGAATTCCAAAATTATTATCAGAACTAGAGCTTTGATAAACTGTATATATATCTTATATTTATTAATAGTGTGTTTTATGGAAAATCATAACTTAACTATTTAGGCTTTCACAGTCTATCCTTATTATAAAATAAACCAAATAAAGGTTTTTACATTCGAAGACTTTTACTCACTTTGAATAAATATAATTAAGATGTATAAACGGTTCTTTAATAAAGGTGATTATATAGAAAGGAGATTACTAGATTTTATGATAAATACCCTTTTGGATAAATAATCTAGCTGGATCAATGCAACAGGGTTGTGCATGTAAATTACGGGAAAATGTTGACGCTATATATTTTAATTGATTTAATATAATTCAACCACAGTTAAAAAATGTTCACCCCCTTAACTCCCTTAGTGTGGACAAGCTCCACCTAGGAATTATTATTTCAAATTACTTTTACTTTTGTTTCGGAAATTGTCTATCGTATTTACATGGCTTTATCTAAAAAGACTGGCATTAACTTGTTAATTCTTATTCATCAATGCAGGAAATCATGCCATGGGACCCACCATATTTGTCAGCTATTGGAAGGCAGCAAAGGTTTGTTATTAGAAAACTGTTAAATTTTAACATATGGTTGTTGAGATGATCTCTTCAAAGTTTTAACATTCTTAAAATTTCTGGATGTTAAATATTTTCCGTGTTCAATTCTCATGTGAAATTTATAGAAACATTATTAAAAAGCATCTCATAGTTCTGTGTAATCCTATTTATTGTTAGTTTTTAGTTGTTTGTTTATTTTGCAAATTATCTATTATTAGTATAAAAAATGTTTTGTGGTTGCATGAGTTTAAAAGCGCTGTTCCATCTCTTAGAAGTGCCATGGCAAACATGGACAGTCTGCCGTATTTCTCCCTGGGTTGTGTCATGGAGGGACTCAATCAGTTGTTTCAGTGCCTGTTTGCAGTGGCCCTACAGCACGTGGAGATGGAACCAGGAGAGGCATGGACAGAGGATATTTATAAATTAGTAAGTCAACAACTCATGCAATTAGGAATCTCATGTAAATTAAAGCAGAGAATTAATGTCAGTTTGTCTTGAAACGCAAGTTCGACCATGCAAAAACACTTCTGAGAGAGTTGCATTGGCTGCCGGTGCGTGCTCGCATAGAGTACAAAATCGCAACTTTGTGCTACTGCTACTTACATGACCTGGTGCCGTCCTATCTGAAAGAGCTGCTGACGCCTTATGTACCCACTAGAGAGCTCCGCTCATCCGATAGTAATAAACTCTCGACACCACGTGTTTGCCTTGAGACTTACGGAAAGCGCACTTTCGCATTTGCTGGTCCAACAATTTGGAACGCCCTTCCTGTCGATCTCAGAAATAACCAGACGCTGGAGTCCTTTAAAACCGATCTAAAGACACATCTATTTGGCAAACACCTTCTGGGATGATTGTCTACCTTATTTTCCAGTTAATGCATAATGGCTGTGTTGCTCAGGGTTGAAATGGCTAGAAAGACTTTGACATTGTATGCTTGTACTTAGTTTTTGTAGTGTTGCGTTTGTTTTAAATGTGGTAAATTATAGATTTGTTTTTTGTTGACTTTGTACCGCGCTTCGAGCCTTTGGGGATGAAGCATGTTTTTGAAATGAACTTTATTATTATTATTATTATTACTTTATTAGTAAACAAAATTATAAATCCATTTTACTGCTTCAAGAAGTTTCATTGTGCTGAGGATTTACTGTTTTTTATCTTTGGTCCTCAAAATATGTTGTTTTTAAATAACTTTTTTATTTATATGATATTATTTATCATTATTTTTGTGTTATTATGTACCTCATTTTAACTTCAACAGGCCGTTGTCCATAAGACTGAAGGCGTCCTTGGCTATATTTACTGTGACTTCTTTGAGAGATTCGGAAAACCAAATCAGGTGTGTTGATTCTATTGTGAAGCAAATCACAAGGTAGGACTGGTAATTTAATTTTTGAAAATAAATTATAGATTTGCTTCACTTAATTGGCTTCTATAAATAAATATTTTTCTAAACTCATATATTAAAGTATGTTTTCAAACCATTATATCCTTGATAATATTGCCCCCAAAAGTTGATTTTTCCCCCTCAAGAAAAAGAAAAGTTACTGTAATTGAAAAAGCAAGAAAAGGAAGATTTTGATAGGCCTTTGTTAAGCTTGATTAGAATTCTGTGGTTTTTTTTAGGATTGTCACTTCACCATCCAAGGTGGTCGTCGTCGAGAAGATGGAAGCTATCAGCATCCTATTGTAGTTTTACAGTTGTCTTTCTCAGGACCCAGGGGGGCCAGTATTCCCACCTTGCTAAGTCCAGGCAATGTTGATAATTTGTTCCATGAATTCGGTCATGCCATGCACTCAATGCTAGGACGCACTAGATACCAGCATGTGACAGGTTAGTTCCATGTCATATGCACAAGATAAAAAGATGTCATTTATTACATACATTACCCAAAAAGTTGATGTTATAAATATATTTAATATCACTTTTAAAAGCTCATAGATATTTAGAATCATGTTTGAGAGAGTAGAGGAAAATGGAATTCATCTATATTTATCAAATAACCTTTTTTTAATTTTAATCTTCTGTTTGAGATGGATTGATAGAATTACAAAGAAAGTGAGGAAATATAAATTCTACAGCTTTTTTTTTTTTACCAAATATCTCCATAGAAATAATAATTTGCAAATTCCTCTTGCAAACAATTCTCCTCTAAGCACACACAATCAAACACTAGCATAACAGGAGTTATAACAGGAATCTCCTATATTTCAAAGATCTATCTAAACAGATCACTGCTCACACATACCGGCATAAGGAGCGGATGGGGTTGAGTAATTGATTTTGGAGATGTGTGTATGGCAAAAGGGGAGTTGCTATATCTGCAAAATATAATGCATTTATGCACAAATGCTGCAAAAATTTTATTGAAATTATGACAGTTCATAAATAGCCTATTTAAATCTCTAATAATAAGACCAAGAGTCATTTGAAAAATCTCTAATGATCACAAATAATAATTCTCTGGGTTTGTATGTATAGCTATAACTTTGTTTAATAGGGGAGGAAATAAAATTCCCAGAAGTTAGCACTATTTGGGATTCTTTTAAAGTGTGTTACTAGAATGCATGTCTTGTCATGTACAGTAACTTAAGAAAATTGTAAGTTAGAGCATTGCCGTTGCCATTATTGGCCTTTTTTTTTAGTTTTAATAAAAAATCTCACAACATTGTTTTGTAATTTTTATAATACTGTAGCTTTGTGTTTTCACATGTGAACTCACTAGATATGGCACTAGTATTATTAAAATTTAGTCCCCGGTTCACCTTTGTTCTAATTTGTATGTACACATGTGCCAAAATATTCAGGTGCAACAACAGGAAGGGGTAATGAAAATTTTGCATTTGTGCATTCGTAATACATGGGACAATGAACCACAGACTCATGCAAACACAAACACTGCAGGTCATGGAATTAAAAAAAAAAAATTCTTGATTGTACAGGTACGAGGTGTACAACTGACTTTGCCGAAGTTCCTTCCGTGCTGATGGAGTTTTTTGCCGCTGACCCAAGGGTAATGATATTTTTGCCATAGACACTGATGATGCTTAGCTTACTTTGATGCCCTCCTCTTTTCACAATTAAGCTTAGTTATTAGGTAATGTAAAAATCATAGGTTCTATTTGACATGTTATTTCATGTAATTTCACATTTTCTTGCAGGTTGTCACCACTTTTGCGCGGCATTATAAAACTGGTGAACCAATGAAAGGAAGTGCTGTGATTAACCTTTGTGATTCTAAGAAAATGTTTGCTGCCTCTGTAAGTAAAATCATGTTTTTAACATTTTTTACCTTTAAACTAAATGCTATATAAGGAAATGACTAAACTCGTTCTGACTAAACTCGTTCTGAATGGCTCTTCAAATTCTGTTCTTAATCCATGGTCCTGAATGAAGTGAAGTAACTCTGCTTTTCAATTGATTTATTTTTGTTAAATTTTAAATTAATTGATTTAAAAATTTGTCCAAAATGACCAATCAATCTATTTTTGGCACACTGAGCAAAAAATGCTAAATATTAGTCTAACCACACATCGATTAAAAAGGAAACAATATAAAAGTTCCCTTTATTATTTATCAAGCTATCACCGGAAGTCTATAGAGACTCATGATTTCGTTGCTATTACTATTACGGTATTAAATAATGAGATAGGGTTGTCCGGAAGATTTGGGATGCATTTCTGATCCATCCCCCCAAACCCCTGTTACACACATTTAGTCGCACCATAGGGAATGAGTAAATGATTTCCACAATAACAGTACTATTTTCCCCATCCTTTATTCCCCCCAGGATATGCAGCAGCAAGTCTTTTTCTCCATTCTAGACCAAGTATATCATGGTCCTCACCCACTAAATGGCTCTACAACAAACATTCTGGCTGAGATGCAAGCGAAGTATTACAGCATCAATTATGTTCCAGACACAGTCAGTATTTTCCTCTTTTTTTTTGTGTCCTCCCTTCTCTACCCACCTTTCCAGGGGAATGGGATCAGTGTTTCTTGCTTGGCTTATAAAACTTTCATTTTAAAATGTATACCTTTTTGTTCATGGGTATACTATAATTCATAAATTTTGTGAAAGCAGAAACGGGATCATTTATTTTTTTTAAGAACACCCATCCATTCTATTCAAACACCACCCATCCATTCTATTCCAACAACAGGCCTGGCAACTGAGGTTTAGTCACCTCGTTGGGTATGGTGCCAGATATTATGCTTATCTTGTATCCAGGGCAGTTGCAGCACAAGTATGGCACACTTGTTTCAAGGATGATCCATTTAGCAGGTTTTTAAAATATTTTTTTTTCTGATCAACACTCCTAATCCTATTTATAAATATTGATGTATTGTAAGGCATTTAGTTAATTAAATGAAAATAAGTTGAACTTTTAAGTTTCTAGAAAAGCTTCAAGTTTTGAGATAATGAATTTGTTCCAGAAATAATTTAAAGATTTTATATTGAAATGTATTTTAAAATAATAATCCTGATTAGTTGAGCTTCAAATTCAAATAATGAAATTATTAAAGAGCGATTCCATTAAAAAACTGTAGTAAAATTAGAATAACTTTCAAGGACAAACTATAATTTTATAATGTGTGAAGGTCCAAAGATTTCAAAAGATTTTTTTTTATACACTCACTGTAAATTGTAAAGGTAATAGAATTTTTTTTTACTTCTTGTCTTTTTTATCAACATAAGTAAATTTTCATTAAAAATATATAGTGGTTTAAGCAATATTTTTGTGTACATAGGTCAATGGGCACAAGATACAGAGAAGAGATGTTGGCATTTGGGGGTGAAAAGCATCCCAGGAATCTTGTTGAAGGTAGCGTGTTCAGCTTTTTTTAGACATTAATTTATTACATTTATATTCATAAATGTAAGAATTTATTTAAATTTAATATATCAACATTTCCTGAAGAAAGTAAAATATTAATGTGAATGATTATACATTGCAAAATTCACTTTTATAATTTATTTCATTTCCTACAGGCATGTTGGGGAAAAGCCCTACAGTTGAAAATTTAGTGGATTCTCTTATTTATGATATGGATGAAAGCGTCAAGTCATTAGGGCAATTGTAAGTGGCATAGCTGTGGGAAAAAACATTGATCACACAATCATCATAAGGGCAGTGATTGATTTATGGAAGCAGGTTTTGACTGCTTGGTACAAAAGAAAAAGTGTTTCATTTAATCTCAGTTATGTTGATAATTTTAGGTTATTTATGAAGGACCATTTCTTACATAAATGTAGACAACAAAAATTTTTTTCTTTGCTAAATAAACTAGATATTTCTTGCAGGGTTGGAGCAAACATAAGTCTTACATGATATGATGCTCTCTTTTCAATGCATATTTATACTAATATTATTAATGAGGTTTGCAGTTATTGAAGAAAATGTTTGTCATAATGAATTGAACAGTATTAACTGAATCAAATAGTTTTAATTATATTATTATGATGTCCTCTTTGTGACACAATGATTGAGCAGATTTAGAACAAAATAAAGAGCTATTACAAACATTAAGATATGGTTGATTTCTTTTTACATTATAGTAACTAAGTCATAATAGTTTCTTTATAGAGACACTACACCACAGGTTCCCAACCATTTTTTGAATTGAAACTCTATTTATAGAACTGAAGTGACCCATGACCCCTATTCCAGTACATTATTAATCACTAAACAAAAAATTAAGATGGTACTAAGAAAACATTTATAAAATAGATGTAGTAGTCAGAAATTATTCTAATTTAATCCATGAAAATGTCTGGTAAAAGATTAAGTAGTAAAATGAATGATTGGTAAAAAAGCATAAAATGCACCTCATGCCTCACAGATCTTTTCAGAATGGCCTTAAACTTAAAGAAATCTGTCTAAACATTTTTTTTAAGTGTAGCCCTCTCATTAGATAAGGTTATGACTTACAATACCAAATAAAAACTAAGATATAAAAATAATAATTAAAACAATTATTTTTAAATAAATTGATGGTTTGGTTCAATAAATTAGATGGGGGGGGGGGGGGGGGGGNNATGTATGAAGATGAGGTAGAAGTTTTTCTCTCTCTATTTAAAAATTATTTATTACCTGGAATAGTGTGATTCAAAAATATTAATTTCTTCCATTTTCATTTACCATTTGCTCTTTGTAATAAAAATATGACAATCATACCTTTACTTGGAATAATATTTAAATGCCATTCTTATTAAATTTTAGAAGTTAAAAAATAGAAATCAACAAGATATTAAATATGTACACTTTTTATTCATTAACAAAAAAAAAAAGAAATGCATCACATAACACAAATCATTATTTAACAATGTAGGATATTAATATTTACATGAATATTGACCAGTCATGCCTAAACAATCTGGGAAACTAGTCATTTAATCTCCTATAATTAGCCACACAAGTTTTTATTTTCATGTCCTCTACTCAACACCATTTACAGAGACTGTCAAAAATATTTTTTTCTTATTAAAAAGCCCGTTTCTGTTGAACTTAACAATATGAAACAAATCTGTATTTAATTGTGTACAAAATAATTAAACCTAGTGCAAAAGTTTTTGGGTTTATTTATCAATTGTAATCCTAACAATATCTAGAAATTACTAAATATACAGAGGTTTCAAAAGAATAGACCCCTCATCCTCCGTCCCATGCCTTTATCATACAACACGTTGAACTTGTTTAGAAACTGAGGACAAAAATTATAATAATTTAAATTAACATCAATATACATATTAAACCCCACCTCCCAATTGTGCAGTGTACTAAAAGGAGAAGTGACAATGATGGGACTGTGCAGCCTTACTAAAAGGAGAATAGTTAAGGGCTTTTTCTTTTATAATATTTTCATCAAAGATGAATAAGATCATGGGTGCAACACTGTAAAATAATCACCTGATTCATAGTATTGCTCCCTTTTGTCATAGCTCCAAGATAGGCCATAAGACAAACATCATTGCATTGCTGGAGAAAACACAGGAATTTTAATTACAATTACAACTTGCTCTCATGTAATGTGTGTTTATCGGTACCAACAAACGTACTTTGGCAACTGTCTACAATTCAGTGTTAATAAGCAATCAGAAGGTTCTATACATAAATAGATAATTATTTTCTTTCAGATATGGTTTCAACAATTAAAAGATAGCCTGTTATTTATTCATTGATATTGTACCAAATTACGCCTCTTGCAGTTAATGAACACAATAATAATAATATTAATTTAAGAACCAAATAAAAGAAAATTATTCAGACAATTATCCATACAATAAGTCATATAGAAATAGTTTGATGAAATTGTAATGATTTTAATTTTTATTCTTTTTTTTAAATTTTAAAAACTTAGATATTGATTTGATGTATATTCAATAGAGTTGTATGCTATTCCAAAATGTATCTGCTGAATAAGATAGATTTTGGTGTTTCAAGATATCTACTTAAACAGAGGCAAATGTAGGGGATAGTATTGAAAGTGGCTTATAAATATTTGCAGGCCAGGATAAGAAATAGCATTTGATTGAAACCTTTGTTACACTTTGTAAATTTATAGCACTGTAGCTATAACCAATAAAATGTTGTAGCACATACCGTGTAGTAGTCCTCTTTAAATCTCTGTGAATTGAGGACAGGTAACCTATAACACAGGCTGTAAGCCTCTCTAAGAATGTCGTGGTTTTTGGCTACGTCACCTTAAAGAATTGTTTAAAGTTCAAGACACTGGATACCAATGAATCAAGTTTTTTAATCTTGGCTTATTTTATTGTCGGTTAACATTAAAAGTGAGCTCCAAAAGAAAAGATGAAATGAAATCAAATTACATATAAAAAATGGATAAGTTGTGCACATGATTACAGTATCTATGTATGAAATTTATTTTGTGAACTTTTGCATTTATTTACTTACCTTTCTGTGCTGCTTGAATATATGCCAGGATAACCATAATGCGATTGTGTAGCATTTTGATAGAGCTGTGCTGAGCAACCAAGTGTTCTGCTGTAAATTTAAAGTACAATTTTAATAATATATTTAATGAAACATTGCACGATAATGCTCTACCATCTTCTTACACTGGTATACTAGATTGAGCCATAACATTGTAGGTACAAAAATTAACATACCTAGGGAAAACATCTATTTTTTAGAAAAAAAAAGAACCAGATTCAAGAAATTCTAAGAATATAACTCTAAAACCCATTAAAGGTTAGTTTTATAATGTTATGTCATCTAATATTTTCCACATTTCAATACTTCTAAAAAGCCTTTTCTATCCAATTTAAATAATTTAATTGTATTATTTAATCCTGAGTTTATATATTATTAGATTATATTTTTCATTAAATTATTTTTTCAAGGCAAATGTAGTTAAAAAATGTAACTAATCAGATGAAGGTGCTTTTGTTAATACATGTGAAGCAGAAAAATTATATCTACAAGATGTCGCAGAGCCAGGTCTCTGTCTTCTGTATTTCAAAATCAAATACAGATCTTTTTACTTTAGAAATGACTTGCCTGTAGATGAATCTCCAGTATCCGCTGTTGACATCCTGGCTACATGGTCTACTCCAATCCTTTCTGCTTCCTCTGTTGCCAGTGTATATGGGATATCCACAAATAAGACTGTCGCCTTAAATATTAAAGATAGGTGTTCTCCCATAAAACTTTAAAATTGTTGAAGTAATAAATATTATTATAAGCAATTACTAGTTATCGATAAACATGGTTTTATCTTATACTTCGTTTACACTGCATATTGTAATAATCTTGTATTTCCGACAATACAAGCTTGTTATGAATTTGAATTTAAAATTTGTTTAAAAATTCACTTACTTCCCCTTTTACCAAATCAATCACTGATTCAAACATGGAGATCGGCAGCTGTAAATTCATTAAAACCATTGATCAATAAAAATAATGAAATAATAATTATGCTGCTGACAACATCAGAGTTATAACAACACATTTAGAAACATCCTAAGAAAAGTTTTATGGAGAGAACTATTAAAATATGTGAGCAGTTACTCAAATTTCTATGCTTACATCTGATGTTCTTGCTTGGGGATTCAACTGTAGAAAAATGGGACTTTCGTTGATACTGAAAAACTAAAAAAGCAATAGTTGGGTTTAATTTTTTTTTCTGTCATGGTTATCTTAGAAATAATGTAAGTTTGCCATCATCATTGTATAGTATTGTATTAGTAAAATCAGAATATACTTTCTTTATCAATAATTTAATTCAAAATATTAAGACCTTTATAGTAGGGTTAGAAACAGGTGTGCTTTAAAATATTAAGCCTTTCTATCAGTCACACACCTGCTTGTGAATTTTAATATCTGATTCTGTTGGGCCATCACCCGTGGAGTACCATCCCAAAAAATCCATTTCACTGAAAACTTGTTTGTCTGAAATAATTGTTTAACACTGTTAAATAAAATGTGACACCCGGTAATAATACCGGTGGCAAAAATTAACAAGTAACAAATTTTAAAATAAAATATGCATTAGGGTCCACATTTTTAAAATTTTCTTTTACTTTATAAAAGCTCACATTGTCCTTCTTTCAAGTTGTAATACTCCATATCAATGATTACATCACCGCAAACAACATCAAACATCAGTTCAATAGAATTCATAACTTCAATCTTCCTTCCCTTCTGCTGGCCAATCACTGCACCCAAAACTGGAGATTAAAAAAAATACAAAAGGCAATGACATTAACAGCTTAATTGAAGGAAAAAGCAAATATAATATAAAAATAGTCTATATTTTGATGTTCACATTTTTAAAATTAATTTTGAATGAATTTAAAAAATTAGATTCAAGGACGCCTAGAACTTTGAACAATGAATGAGCCTTTTTTTTGTAATTCCTATTTGGTCAGTTTCCAGCGACATGTATGTTTATGTAGGCAAAATCATAGCCCCTTATAAAAGTCAGTACTATTAAATCAATAGTTGATACCCAAAGGCCACATTACACAACAGCGATTGAGAGAAACTGTTAAAATGTTTAACTTCAGATAGGCTACAACTACAATATTTTATAGGTAATCTCTAGGTCCAGTTCACTTATGTTTTATCATGATCATATAATTTCATTCATTATCACATATTAGGCCCAGAGGCTAGCCCAGCATTCCCAAAATATGGGGGTCACTTACTGGTACCAGGCCAAGGAAACAATAATACCTAGTCACGAAAATGATTCTCAAAAACACGGTTTCTTTAATGTTTTGGTTTTTTTTATCTATGAAACCTTAAAATAACAGTTAATAGCATTATATGGGACTAACAAGATAAAAGTTCTAAAGTCTCATTATTTGCAAGAGGTAAGAGGTGGTCTAGCAGTCTAAGCTGAGCTAATCCTATGCTTGTGGACTGCAGTTCCATCCCCCCGCAAAAGCCTAACAAGCACACAAAAAAACACCAGCACACCAGGTGGACAAGACTCTGTTATCCTTGGATAGCAAATCATATAAGAGAAGTCAAACTCCCGTAGGAGTATGACATTACATTGACACAATGCAAATTCCAACAACTCCTGCGATGTGCTCAAGTCAAGGCTACTACCCGTACTCAAGTTGAGCCCTTGGTCATCTTTGCATACGAAGGATAAACAATAATAGAAAATTTGGATCTAGTTATGACATATACAGGGACATCGTATCACTCTGTTGAGCAACACCAGCACAGTCGAAGGTGTTTCTTTTTAATTTCCAGACATTTTTTGTTGTTGTTTTTTTGGGGTGGGGGGGTTAGAATCTATTTAATGTTACATTAAGGCCAGAATAAGCAATACAAAAAATTGCTGCAGGTCACAAAGGAGAAGTATTTTAAAAAATAAGTGCCATAAAAAAATAGGGTAAATTTACACAATCTGCGACTTTTTGAGTTTCTTTGTGGCATTATCTTCCCTTTGTTTATCTTGGATTGTTACTAGAGTTAACACTCTTTCTTATATTAATATCATATTTCAAAAGAAAGGAAAAAAGAAACTCATCCTTGCTGATACGCCAAGAAACAACACCGGTGGGGAAAAAAAAAGACGCCCGCCAAAATTGCTGTATCAAATAGTTGAAATCAAAATACCTGTATGTGGTAACAAAAGGAAGATAACTGCTTAAATTGCATTTGGAATAATCTAGGAACTGGGCCTGGGGAGGGGAGACCCCTCCCCTCGCTTTAAATAGTCCTCGTTTTATAGCCCTTTTAATTGTTCCTATAGTATAGTAGTTACTATCCTAATGTCTCATTTTTATTTTAGTTAGTTTACATGTTTTTAATAATTGCAAAGCGCTTAGAGCTTTAAGGTAAGCGCTATATAAAAATTCCTAAATAAATAGTAAAAAAAGAAACATAGAAATTATCTTAGTCTTAGGAGAACTCTCCCCAATTTTAAAAAAAAACATTAAAATAAGAAAATAATAACTTGCATTTATGTAAATATAAACATCGAAATCGATATCTTTTTAGTATGGCACTGTCACTGTAGACGGAAATGGACCTGGGGGAACCACCTTGACCTACATACCATGGAACCTTACCAGTAACTCAAAACCAGCCCATTTAGGGATACATTTTCATTTAGGGTTCAGGTTAGGTTTAGGGAAACCTTTAAAGTTTTAAAGGTAGGCCTACTAAGGCTTAGACTTAGGCTGATAGGGATACATTAAAACATTTACTTAGATTTAGTAACAGAATTAACTGGTCGTTTCAACCAAAATGACGGGCAATCATGGCATCCTCTCTCAACATTTACCGATTTACCGAAAACTTTTTACATATTTTAATATTAATTTATAAATACTACCTTGAGTAGGTTTTCCTTCCTGTGCTTTGACCCTAGTCCAGTGCTCTGAAATGTTCATAATCACAAGTGGATGGAGCGCAACTGCAACACTTCCTGTAGTACCTGGAGAAGCCATAACACCGGTACTCGGCTGATCAACTTCCATTTGGGTAGCCATGGGCTTTAAATTAGCAAATAACAGAATAAATAAATACAACGGTATGTCAAGAACTATAGTATGCAAGGTACTGAATCTGTTTTTTCGCTAGTTAATTTGGTCCATGAAAGCCACCGGTGGTGCCAGGTAAAGAAATTGAATTTTTTTCAATTCTAAATATTTTTGAAATACCATATATATTAAATTCTAATTATTTTGTAAGTATTATTTTCGATTATTATGAGCTTATTAATTTAATGTGTCTTAAAACAATATGTATATGTTAAATTAAATATATATTTCATTACCACGAGCACTTTGTTCAACCTGGCCTAAATTTTTCAACCAGAAATATTATGTTTGCTCATGTAAACTGCCTAGACACAGGCATTTTCTGTGAATCGATTCTCAAACGCTGATAGAATTTTACTAGAAAATAAACTTTTTTTAAAAATTTTATCATCGTTATTAAAAAGATATTTTATAATTATTTATTATATTAATTTGTAAAATTATAAACGTATTAGACAATTTTTAATTTGTTTTATTTTTTAGCAACTAAAAATAGAGTAAGTGCCGGGAATTCAATGTGAGTGTTTTAACGTGTTCAAGTTTTGTCGGCATTTTAAAAAAAACTAATAAAAACTCTACCTGCAGGTCCCAAAAAATATTTTACCATAAAACCTAAGAACAGCACAAACTCTTGGGACCAAAGGAGCCATTAGTAAAGTATGTCATGTTCCAAGGGAAGGGTGTCTAAGAAAATATGACAGTTTTTGACCCGGGGAGGGTAAAGATCATAATAAGATAATAATATGTGACGTCACACATTTAAAAAAATATCATAATATAATGTAAAGCCTGAAATTGACAATGTTGTTTTAACTTTCTATTGGGATGGGCTTTTGCTGACAGAGATTTCACTTTTATAATTTAATAATGAAGTGTGTTTTAGATTAAAGGTTAATTAGTTGTTAATTTCAGTGCCGTCTTACGGGATGGGCCCAGTGGCCCAGTGGGCACTGGCCCAGGGCCCCGCGCTTGTAGGGGGGTCCCACATTTCTAGGATACTCACTCTTATAAAGGTATCATGCTTTACATCTTTTTAATGAATATTGAAAGATTTTGATAATTTAATTTGCTTTAAAATCCAAATTTCCCAATTTTAACCCACCGGTACATTCCAAAATTAAAATTATAAATGCGAATCAAATTTGGACTGTTTAAAAACTTTTCAAGGGGGATAACTCTCGTCAACGTGTTTACTTTTCCCCCAGATATGAATAAAAAAAAAAATAAGGTAAGAATTTATGTTTACTATCATATTAGACAAAAATGTTGGCCCCGGGCGGTATTAACACAAGCTACGCCACTGCTCTGTAGTGAAATAAGTGGAGAAAATTCTATTCTAGCACCAGTTAAGGTACAACTGAATTTAATTAATATTTAATTAAGGAATTTGTAATATTGTAAGTCACCAATAAATAATTCATTTTAAAACTAAAAGTAAATTAAAATTTATTTATAAATTACAAACAAATAACTTATATTTTCTAAACTGAAAAAATATTTAAATGATAAATAAAAATAGAACCAAACAGTCAGCGTAGGTCTGAGTTAAAGGCAGAAATATAATAATTATAGGTATTTGGGTATTATAATAATTTGTTGTCACTGTTAATAATAGGTACTTGGATGAAGCAAGGGAGACTACTAAAAAAATTTTTATGGGAAATAGGTGTCGGCGCGCGAATATCCGAGTTTTTAATTATTTGATAGTGGAACTATTTCATTCATAAAATAATTACTTATATTTATATCCCAGAATTGTGTTCCTCTTCCGGTCTTTCGCTTTAGAGGACATCTTGGCCTACATTTTAATCAATTTCTTTTTCATTTACAATGGTCAGCTTTGAGAAAATCCTTGGTAAATAGAAGGCAACTTTCATCATAAAAATTAAGTCGAAGTAAAAGACTTGTCACTACCAAATTTTTTTTGCATCTGGGGAATGTATTGTTCTACATGTATGCCAAATTTCACAGCGATATGTGTTTTACGAGAGATGCCATGTTTTTACGGGTTTGCAGCAGGTCATGCAGTTCGCTCAACCTGATTTTGCCATGGGATGGGCCACGCCCCCTTTTAAATGGCGGAAGTTGCAGATACTTAGGAAATATTCATTTATTACCACTATTTACATCAAAATATTTGATAACTTTTGTTTCAGAATGCATTTTGAAGACATTTAAACTGGAATGTTTTAATTTGAGCTTTAACAACCCGGTAGAGTCCATATTATAAATGATCAGAATTTATGGTGTGCAACACGTTATCATTGACAACCATTCACAGCCTCTTGCATAATGGCTATATCGTAGTACTACCTCAGAGTTTCATTCATAAGAGTTTGCCGTGTGCAAAAACTATTAAACCATTGGTCAGCGAAAGCTTTAATTAATTATTCATGTGCCAAAGTTGAATGTTTAAACTGAGTCGACCCTAAACAGTATTTTAGTGGAATACATGTACAGTTGAATACTGGATTCGCTGTGGGCCATCATTGTGTCAGAATCATGACTGCAAACCTTTTAAACTCAGGCAGAGTTTACCCTCGAGCTGGAAAAGAAAAAACTAAGACTAGCTCTTTATCAAGGAATATGTTCAAATGTGAACTACGGAATAGTGAGTCTGTAAAACGGGAATGGCTTTTCTGCTCACCATCCCATGTTTTTTTTTTGTATCGTTTTGCATGCCGTCTATTATCCAAGAAAGAATCTCCCTTTGCTACATCAGGATTCAATGACTGAAAACACAACAATCTTATTGTAGAACATGAAAATCGAGAAGAGCATCACAAAAATATGACTATATATGCAAATTTGCTTCGACTCAAAGAAGCAGGGTATTGAGATCCTTTATTAATCAAACATTTATGTCAGAACAGGAGTTCTGACATAAAGTTCTAACACATGTGGTTTCTGTCATTCGTTTTCTTGCCTCCAGAGGTTTGGCATATCGTGGAGAGAATCAAACTATTTGGTCAGTAAACAATGAAAATCTTTTAGGTATTTTAGAGCTGTTGAGGGAATTTGACCCTTTTTTGGAAGAGCATCTCAAATACTATGGAAATGCTGGAACGCATCATATCTGTCTGCAAATATTTGTGATGAGTATTTTGATCTAATGAGGCAAAATGTCCTTTGTGCTAATTTGGAAGAAACTAAAGTGTCAAAGTATTATTAAATAAGTGTGGATTCCACTTCAGAAATTTCACACATTGATCAAATGACATTTACGGTCCGGTACATTCCAGTATGTAAGTCTGTGGAGTGTTTCATCAAGATTATTCCCATATTTTTCCATGGAGCAAAGGATCTATCAGATACTGTTGTGGGTTTCATGAAAGAGAACAAAATTCCGCTACCAAACTGCTGTGGTCAATCATATGACAATGATTCAAATATGTCTGGATGCTATACTGGATTGCAAGCAGGGATACATCAAGTAAACGAGTCTGACATGTGCTGTTCACAGCCTGAACTTAGTTGTCTTAAAACCAGCAGAGTGGTGTCTACAATTTGGAAAATTCGTTGACATATTCAGCGCCTGCATGCTCTTTTCCTCAGCTTCTACACATATCGATGGAATGTTCTGGGATCTTCCTTATGAAAATCTCTCGTTGTTGTAAAGCGTATGTCTGACACAAGGTGGTCAGCACATTTTGATGACGTCAACGCTCTGCATGTAGGTTTCGAAAAAAAAGGCATGATGCTCTGGCCTCTGTTTCAGCTGACACCAATTAGGACGTGAATACGAGGCATGAGGCAGAAGGACTAAGCAAGAAAATGGAGAACCTGGAAACGATTTTTCTGACAATTCTTTGGAACGATATTTTGGAAAGACTGAACAAAACAAGTAAGGTCATGCAGTCAAAAGATGCTTACATACATGTAGCAATAAAACTTCTTGAGTCTCTGAAATCCTGTCTTCAAGAAATTAGAGAAACATTTAGTAACTATGAACTTAAGGCAAAGAGAAGGTATTCAGAATTGGAGTACCGGGTATAGAGATGTTAAGAAACGGAAACGAAATTGAAGTACATATGATGGACCAGAAGATCGAAACTTTTCTCTCTATTTTGGACTCTGACCTGAAACAACTTACACACGCTTATTCTTGGATTGGAAATCTGTTTTCCTTCTTTACGAAATTAAAAACAATTGATTCCAATGAGCTAAATAAAAAGTGAGAAGATCTAGCTAATATGTATCACAAAGACCTTAATAAGGATGACTCATTAAATGAATGCACGAATCTCAAGAACTTCCTGGTTCTTGATCAAAATTTAGACACTATCACTGTTTTATTTGACAAATAATTGCAGACAACATTAATAAACCAATTCTCTGCAAAATAATTACGCAAACGATTATGTTGATTTATATTAAATAATTTATTCTATCTATCTGTGTAGAAGTAGCGGCAGAAATAGGAGTGACAGATACAAGAATGGCAGACTTAGGAGCGGCAGAAATAGGAGTGACAGATACAAGAATGGCAGATGTAGGAGTGACAGATACAAGAATGGCAGGCGTAGGAGTGACAGATACAAAAATGACAGACTTTGGAGCAGAAGAAATAGGAGTGACAGATACAAGAATGACAGACGTAGGAGCAGCAGTAAAAGGAGTGACAGATACAAGAATGGCAGACTTAGGAGTGGCAGAAATAGGAGTGACAGATACAAAAATGGCAGACTTAGGAGCGGAAGAAATAGGAGTGACAGATACAAGAATGGCAGACTTAGGAGCAGCAGAAATAGGAGTGACAGATACAAGAATGGCAGACTTAAGAACGTCAGACATAGGAGCAACAGATTTAATTTAGGAGCAGCAGATGGAGTGGCAGATAAAAGAGAGGAAGACTGAGAAGTGGGTGATGTAGACGTTGCATTTTTAAGAGTTTCAGATGTTGGAGCGGCAAGAACTTAGGTGTATGTATATTTATTATATCCATGTGTATTGGTATAAGTTTTTGTTTTATCATATCCTATTTCGTAACTGTTTATTTGTTATTTCCATGCTAAATTGTATGTTTGTGTTATTTCAATGCTAGCAGCCGCAGACGTAGGGATGGCCGACGTAGGAGCAGCACAGGAGTGGCAG